GTTCCAGTCTTCATTCTACTAGTTCCAGTCTTCATTCTTCTACTTCCAGTCTTCATTCTACTAGTTCCAGTCTTCATTCTACTAGTTCCAGTCTTCATTCTACTAGTTCCAGTCTTCATTCTACTAGTTCCAGTCTTTATTCTTCAAGTTCCAGTCTTCATTCTTCAAGTTCCAGTCTTCATTCTTCAAGTTCCAGTCTTCATTCTACTAGTTCCAGTCTTCATTCTGCTAGTTCCAGTCTTCATTCTTCAAGTTCCAGTCTTCATTCTACTATTCATTCTACTAGTTCCAGTCTTCATTCTACAAGTTCCAGTCTTCATTCTTCTAGTTCCAGTCTTCATTCTACTAGTTCCAGTCTTCATTCTTCTAGTTCCAGTCTTCATTCTTCTCTAGTTGCAGTTCATTCTTCTAGTTCAAGTCTTCATTCTACTAGTTCCAGTCTTCATTCTTCATTTGTAGAGTTATGGTAAAGTGTAGCAGATTTTGTGAAGATAAGAGTTCCAAGCTTCCAATTCTGATGGTGTATGTCCCTTGTCCAACAATTAGGTTAATATTAGTTAAATGCCAAATACATTGTGTTCATTAATATTCCTTTTTATTTTGTAGACTATGGTGTTCGAATATGGTGGTAAGATTTGTTAGATTTTGTGTTCCACACCGCCATGTCTGTAGGTGTTCTCTCGTGTCAGTAAGTCCAGTATATTGTTAATTGCAAAATAAATTTGTGTTCAATCATATCGTATTTTTGTGATTTTGCAGTTATGGAAAAATATGGTAAAAGATTAGAAGATAGTGATGATTAGTAAGATCTGGAGTGGATTTGTGGTCACTCATGTCTGTCAGTCCAATGGGTGTATATTGTTTGAACTACCAAGTCTGTTGGTGGTCACTCATGTCTGTCAGTCCAATGGGTGTATATTGTTTAAACTACCAAGTCTGTTGGTGGTCACTCATGTCCATCAGTCCAGTGGGTGTATAGTGTTTGAACTACCAAGTCTGTTGGTGGTCACTCATGTCCATCAGTCTAGTGGGTGTACATTGTTTGAACTGCCAAGTCTGTTGGTGGTCACTCCTGTCCGTCAGTCCAATGGGTGTATATTGTTTGAACTACCAACTCCGTTGGTGGTCACTCATGTCCATCAGTCCAGTGGGTGTATATTGTTTGAACTACAAAGTCTGTTGGTGGTCACACATGTCCGTCAGTCAAATGGGTGTATATTGTTTGAACTACCAAGTCTATTGGTGGCCACTCATGTCCATCAGTCCAGTGGGTGTATAGTGTTTGAACTACCAAGTCTGTTGGTGGTCACTCATGTCCATCAGTTGAGTGGGTGTATAATGTTTGAACTACCAAGTCTGTTGGTGGTCACTCATGTCCATCAGTCCAGTGGGTGTATATTGTTTGAACTACCAAGTCTGTTGGTGGTCACTCATGTCTGTCAGTCCAGTGGGTGTATAGTGTTTGAACTACCAAGTCTGTTGGTGGTCACTCATGTCCATCAGTCCAGTGGGTGTATAGTGTTTGAACTACCAAGTCTGTTGGTGGTCACTCATGTCCATCAGTTGAGTGGGTGTATATTGTTTGAACTACCAGGTCTGTTGTTGGTCACTCATGTCCATCAGTCCAGTGGGTGTATATTGTTTGAACTACCAAGTCTGTTGGTGGTCACTCATGTCTATCAGTCCAGTGGGTGTATAGTGTTTGAACTACCAAGTCTGTTGGTGGCCACTCATGTCCATCAGTCCAGTGGGTGTATAGTGTTTGAACTACCAAGTCTGTTGGTGGTCACTCATGTCCATCAGTTGAGTGGGTGTATATTGTTTGAACTACCAAGTCTGTTGGTGGTCACTCATGTCCATCAGTCCAGTGGGTGTATATTGTTTGAACTACCAAGTCTGTTGGTGGTCACTCATGTCTGTCAGTCCAGTGGGTGTATAGTGTTTGAACTACCAAGTCTGTTGGTGGTCACTCATGTCCATCAGTCCAGTGGGTGTATATTGTTTGTGACTGTCTGTTAGTGTTCACTAGTGTTTGTCAATTTTTATTTTGTTGTATTATTGTTTATGTCACTTTGTCACTAATCATATTTTTCCTTTAACTAATAGGTTTTTGTTTCTTGCAGGAAAATATATTGCAATGATATTTGTTTCTTAAATTGATGGCTATTTTCCAAATACAAGTTGTAGTTTGGTTTGAAAATATTGACCTCAATTTTGATACAGATGTTCATTCCAATATGGTCTTTGCTCTGGTGTACTGTAGCGCAACTACCAACGAAGATGATCCAGCAGAGAAGCGATGGTGGAGCAAAGACCACTTTGACTATTTTGTGGCATGTTATAGTTAATCTCGTGTCCAATTTAGTCATAGTGGTTTATGCCTCTATTTTGTCACCACAGAATTTAAGATCAGCTGAAACAAAGGGGCCAAATTAGGGTAGGCCTATGGGCCAAGGACTTTTGAGTAGTGGGTATGGGTTATGAACCTTAGAGTGAAAGTAATGGTTTATACCCTGATGACTTGAGAGTAGTAGGGGTCTATGGACCTTAGGGTAGTAAATTAAGCTATAGTGTCTATGGACCTTAGGGTAGTAAATTAAGGGAACAGGTTCTATTTACCTTAAGATGGTAAGTAAATGTGTGTGACCTAGTGACTATACAGTAGTAATGGCAGGGGGTATATGGATCTTAGAGTGGCAGGTTAAGGATGGAGGCATTAAATGACTTCAGGATGGTGGACTCTAGTGATAGATTTGTTGGTTTCGGATGAGTAAACAGGAGACGCCCATTAAAGACTACTGTGACAGTTTTGTGGCAGATTTTTCAATGTACTTCTGCCCAATTTGGTCACAGTAGTTATACAAACATTTCTACGTATTGTTTTAAAATAGTGATGATGTATCTGTAATAATGAGAGTCTTGGTGAGGACCAGAAATAAAGGTAATCTTAGCTCTTAAGGTTGTTCAGGCCAACATGTAGGGATACAGGTTAGCTGTTTCGGAATTGTTGTGGTAGTAGCCCTTATTGTGGAGGTTTGACTACAGGATGTGATCTTGACACCGGATTAAGAATATATTTTGGTCTGAAAGAGTTTTGTTGATTATCTATACTCTCTGGTTCAGTCTGTCCCAATTCTGACCTCAATCGAACGGCATGGAACCAGATATATGCCGAGATGTGCAGTAAGCACTGCCACATTGATAAAATCTTCAGTAAACGCATTCCAACTATTGTGTCTTCTGTTATGTTATTGACTCTGTAATTATAGAAAATGAATTAAAAACATAGGCGGTGATGTTATCGGAGAAGGCTGTCAGGGACAAAAAACAGACCTTGTGTGCTACAGCATTTCTGGGTACCACTCGACTGGGTTTACAAGGGTCTTATCATCTGCCCCATTGCCCAAAGAATGACATTACCCAATTAGCAGCCTCACCAACACGTAAGATATAAGAAACCGATAGTTTATTGGAAAATTGGACATCTTTTGTACCATTCCAATTTTCAATCAGATGTCAGTGGTTCCTGCAATTCCACTAAAACTAGGCATTTTGTGATATTTAAAAACATATTTTGCAATTAGTGATTTCTTCAAAGGCATCCCCAGCCCCTAATAAACTCTCACAAGTTTATGCTGCAAAAAAGTAAAAAACACCAAATAAAGAAAAAAAATGGTATCCTTTTCTCTTGCAGTACACATCATACATTATTATTATTATTATTATGTTTCATACTAAAAAAACAATCTCTTTATACAAAATAAACAAAAATAACAAACAATCAGGCATTTCTATTTTAATTCTACTGAAATATACTCCATGTTTTTCCTCTTGCTGTGTTCCTTTAAATCTGGATTTTTCTTTGATTTTTTGAGCATAAAGTTCTCGGCTCAGTTTATTGAATTGTGTCCTATCATTTGGCATCTTCACAATGTCCATGTTCCTTAAGCAACGCTAGTATATTATCAATATTCTATATTAGATGTGGATAATATTCTACAGATGCTAAGGGAACATAGACATTCTCAAGCTATTACAAACTTTGTCTTTTAACTCAACTGCAATAACCACTTTTGGAATGCAGCGATTTGATTGGGTTGTACGCAAGCGACGATTATGGCTCATAGTTTACAGACTTCTTCAAGGATTCTGGTTGGCTGTATTCTCTAACGTACAATCCAACCAAATTGCTGCATTTTCTAACTTCTGTGATAAAAGAAAGGTGGTTATTGCAGTCAAGGTATAAGACAAAGGTTGTAATAGCTAACATTGTGAAGATGATCATAAGGTAACCAAAGGCAATACAATTATTTTGACATAAAATACCTACAGAACTGGTGTGTTTATTAAATACAAAACAAAACGTGATCTCTATGACTGTAAATTACTTGATCATCACTCAGTGGCACTCGTCTAAAAAATATGCCTGACACAATAAATAGTAATCTTAGCACAGCACAAATTGCATAAAGCAAATTTAAACTAACTTCTTCTTTAAAGCATAGCTTTTTTCATAGAAATATCCTGCATAAAGCATAGCTAATTTCAAATAAAATTTGTGCTTATAACATAGCTTTTTCCAAACCAATTTCCTGCGTAAGGCATAGCTCTCCAAAACATCTAAAACCATTTCCTGGTAAAAGCATAAGATTTTAACAATGGAATATCCTGCATAAAGCATAGCTTATTATAGAGATGTTTTGCTTAAAGATTGGTTTTTAGTCTTGTAGAGCATTTGATTTTATACAGAACAAGCTATTAAAGGTATTGTAAAGAGGTTTTCTAACTGAATTATGTATATCTGAGACATTGATTTGCACCATTCCAGTTTTCCGTCAGATGTCTGTGGAAGGAAGCATTCATGACATCACAATCTCTAGAGCAACTAAAAATATTTCTGGGCTATTGAAATAGCTACGTCATGTTAAGAATCTCACAGTTAGGCTGAAAATTTTCAGTATCAGTATCAATGATATACAAATTTGTAGAAAACCTCTTTACAATCCCTTTAATCAATTTTTGAAATAGAAGTAATGGGTAGCTTGTAAGCCAAATGCTGTGGTTTCCAAGGAATGACATCACTTGACACTGTCTTATCTGAAAATAATTTTTACAATACAAAATTCTTGTATATATGTATATATAAAAGAAAAGAAAACTGCATGCTCTCAAATTACTAAGTGCATTATCAAACTTAAGATTCAGACAAAACAAAACATAGAAAAGGCAATCTTAGACTTCCAGATATAATGGCATCAAACATTCACTCATCTTCACAATGTCAAGCTATGACAAACTGCATCTTGTACCTGGATTGCTAAAGCAACCTTTCTTGTATCACGGAATGCAGCAATTTGGTTAGATTGTATGCCATAGAATTCAGCCAATCAGAGCCCTCGACGGAAAAACCGTAAATATTGTGGTCTATTGTTTACAGACTTTCTGTCAAGTACTTTGATTAGCTGTATTCGGTTACATACAATCCAATAAAATTACAGCAATTACAAACTTTTGTGATAAAAGAAAAGTGGCTATTGTAGTCAAGGTATTAGACGCAGTTTCTAATAGCTTGACATTGTCTGACATACCCTAGAATATCCAGTTTCCTTAACATGATTTATTTGATTGTTCTTTTCATTGATTCACTTTATAGAAACAAAATTTACTATCATTATCATAGTCCAGTTAAAATGATTGCAAAGAGGTTTTCTGAAATTTAATGTGTATCTGGGGATACTGATAGCATCAATTTGAACTATTCCAATTATCAATCAGATGTCAGTGGTTCCTGCAATTCCACTAAAACTAAGCATTTTGTGATATTTAAAAGCATATTTTGCAATTAGTGACGTCATCAAACAATTAGTTTTAGTGGAATTGCAGGAACCACAGATGTCTGATTGAAAATTGAAAGGGTGCTGTGAGTGTCATACACATAAAATATTAAGAAAACCTCTTGACAATCCCTTTAAGATGTAATGGCACATATGACTCGTATGATATGAGTATGATTATTATTGAAAAGTAAAATAGATACAGGTCAGCTGGCCAAAATTTAAGGGAACAAAGCTTAAGCTTATATCCTTTAATAATAAATGAAACAACTAAAAACACACTACATTCTTCAATCATCCTCATCCATATTATAAGCTGGTAATTTTAGTGTACAATACCCCACGCCTGTTAGACTGCGGGGTAGGGCGCCGACTGTCTCCCATATTCCAGTATAAATATCATACTTAGATACCAATTTTTGTCCCGTTTTAGTTTGTACATTATACCCTCCCAACACGTAAATTTGATCATTATACACGACACACGAAGCCTCTTTATGAGATATTGATAAAGGGGCAATGATTGTCCATTGGTCCATAGCAGGATGATAGCATTCTGACTGCATCACCGGCTGGGCAGCTTGATTCACATTCAAATTACAACCTCCGAACACAAACAGTTTATCTTGTGCCGCGCACATCACATGCCAACCTCTTGGGGTCAACATTGGGGCCATGTCCTCCCACTGATTGGTTTGTGGGTCGTATCGCTGCATGTCCGGGGTAAAATGATTCCCACTGTATCCTCCAGATATATAAATGTATCGCTCAAACACGGCACCAGCATGCGCATGATAAGACATCGGCATTGATGTTATCAACTCCCACGTATTTTCTGCGGGATCATAACATTCGGCTGTTGCTAAGCTACCATCTTTAAATTTACCGCCGACTGCATAAATTTTGTTATTCAAGGCTCCAGCGAAAAAATACGCTCTTTTATTCAACATAGGACATACTTGATACCAACTGTCAAATCTTGGGTCATAACGCAGTACGGAATTAACAGCCGATTCACCATGCGCACACTGTGTTATACATCCACCAAGCACATAAAGGAAATTATTATAGACCACCACTTGCATGTGACTCAAAGCACTAGGAAGAGTTGCCTTCTCTTGTCTGTTCAGAAGACTGTTTGAGGTCACTTTAGAATCAAACACTATAATGCCGTCGTGTAGACAAGGGTTGGGGTGAATCTCGCGACCCCCGACACTTATTAACCTCTCCACGTAAGAACGTAACTGTACACTACTTGATACTGTGAAAGGTTGGGAATGGGGAACTACGTGATAATTTAACGCACCTAATACCATTTGTCGTAGATCTGGGTTCGACATCATTGTCTCCACACGCTGAACATGTTGTACTAGGTCTGACGGGTTAATTAATGGAAACCTAATCAATTTCATTAATTGCCACGCATGCTCTTCTTGGTTTGCATCCTGTCGAAGCCATTCCCAGGTTATATGAAAAATGTCAATCTCGCGTAAAAACAACTTCTCGCTGTTTAAACAGTTACTCATTTGTTCATAGGTTAAAAGATTTAGAGTTCCTTCTTTTGCTATTTGCATTAAATTTTTCGCTATGAAAACATCGATCTGTTTTAAAGCGTTATTCATACTGTACAACTTGGCGGTGTTTATAAAATCGTAAAAATTCGACGTGGTCATACCGCTCAGGAAATTACGTTCACAGAATTCTATAACTGGTGTGACTTGAAGATGTGTCGCGGCAGCAATGACGTCAAAGATATCGTCGCCCTCCAGAGTTGTAGTTGAGGTGTAAATGACCTCAATGACCTTCTCCAGACCCTTGGCCGTGATTCCTTTCAACTCTATCTCCTTCTGTTTGCTCTCTCTCATTCCGCTCGTGAACATAGAACGGAAATAATCAGAGCATGACACCAGAATTACACGATGCACTTCAAACTTATGACCTAGAAATACAGACATAATTTTAAAAAATTGAAATCTTTACCTAAAACAATAAACTACAATATTATTACATTATCTGAGAAAAAATTTCAGCTTAAACTCTGGGAAATGAACCTTCTCGGATTATCTGTACCCAATTTCAACTGGGTCCTCTATATTTCCGAAAAGGGAAAAATTCTCAAGGTAACAATCCTACCCTGAATTCTGTACCTATGTACAGCTGAGCTTACTGAACAATGAGGAAGACCTTATCCAATGAACATGAGTGGAACTCACAAAAAACAAATTACGAAAAGAGACAAAGTACATAATATCTCAAGGTATTTAAGCTCTAGTGTGAAGTCCCAATATGCAGAGCTCTTCCCACATTTTAATCTTTAATCAACCCACTATCATAAATCAACAAATTAACCAACAATCATAAATCATACTTACTCTCAGCTATCAAAGTAACATCACATAAAATTCTATCATTCTTTAATTTATTCAAGCCCTGTAACAGCTTCATACCATGCTCTGGTCTTTCCTCAACACGGAAAATCTCTCCATTTGTTATATCTTGACCTTCTGCCATGTTGCGAGGTCTTTTCTTGCGTCTTTTACTCACCAATTTTCTCGGCATTTACACCGAAGAGACATCTAGTATGTCCACAGATGGTCAATCTGGAAGGAAGAACACATTATTGACATCATACTCATAAAATAGAGAAACACGTACTTGTAAAATAAGAAAGAAATATTTTTTTACAAGAATAACATCCATATGCTGTAGAAGATACGGTCTACCAATTGGTCCTTGGACTAAATAAATGATTTCCAATGATTTTGCAGGGTTCTAGATGACTCTAGCTACCAGCTGATCCTGGTCCAAATCCTTTTGGCATCTTTTCCCAAACTACCCGGAAACCAATTACAACTGGGTCCACATGATAAACGACGCGAGATGAGTTTTTCAACATCACCACAACTTCACACACTGTCAGGGAGTAGAAAAATGAAATAGAATGGAGCTTTACATCCTTCTTTTCTGCACCATGTTGGCTAATAAAGACGAGCAACCCAATACAGGGTGCAATGAGGGAAATTTTGCTCTTTTTTCGATATCCATCAGTCAATCCTTAACGTGCATAATCTGTAGCACACGGGGCCTCGGTTTATTGTCCCATCCGAACGACTTGAAGTTTTTCCCCATGTCAGCCACTCTTACCTGCATCACTGACAGGGGGAAACCGGGTTGGAAAATCCGAGGGTATTATCTCGGCCTATGTTGGTATTGAACCCTGGACATGAGCAAGCAGGGGCTCCCTGACAGGGATTAGAACCATCCACAACAATTTGCTTGTAATAAAGCAAAATAAATCAGATTCTAACATTATGACTAACTATACAAAAGCATCTAAGAAATTTAGAATAATTAATGCAATTACAACAAATTGATAAGCTGAAATTGAAGTTATAAAGCCAAATTCTATAGCTACCAGTATGTGATGTATTATCAGTGACTAAAAATTCTTTTTTTTTTTTTGAAGAATTGAAATTGCAAAATGAAATTTTAACAGCATGCAATGGACAATTTATTCTCCTTTGACTTTAGTGTTCCTTTCCTGCCCATAATAATAAAATAATGGATCTTTTGTAGCAGGGAACAATATATCATTCATATGCTTCTGTATCGTTTGTTTCCGGTAGACATTGCATCAATAACGAGCACCTAAAAATACAATGTTACTCAATGTACAACAATGTTGCAAGGGTTACTGAACTTGTCAATGGCTCGGGTGTTTTCAGAAAGCAGAGCAAAATTTAATTTTCTCACCTTTATGCAGTCTGTTTAGATCTTAATTCAACTTCTCCATATTCTCGAATGTTTATTCCAAAATCTACGACATTTTTCATGTGTAATTATTCCATAAAAAATGCCATAACCTTCGTATATTTTTTGCAACTTTCCTCACAAACAAGACATTTCTAAACCGGATATTTCTCCATTATGCTATTGCGCATGCGTCACAAGATGGTGGACAGAATATCACAAATTGTAAATTATTTTAAATTTATGATAATTTCCTTATGAATTCAACTCTGATTCGGCCCTTTCATAAAAAAATATCAATGTCGTTCATGTATTTTGTCAAATGAGCTACAAAAGTGCCCCTCCATTGTGAACTTTATGAGAAACAAAGATGTTATTTGTGAAATATTGGTTTGTTTTGATTTTTTTTAGAAACCCACCACGTAAACAAATATACTTATATGTACAGTGGGGTCTCACAATAGGGACTGGAGGCTAGGCTAGAGGGGGTTTCCAACACCAGTTGTATAGTCCCCCATATTCTATCAAAATGAAATATCTAAATCTGCACTTATATTACAATAATTACATCACCTTGGATCAGAACTTGAAATACTAAACATTGTTTTGATTAAGATCCCAGAAAGCTTAAGGATTATCATAAAAAACGACAGATTCAACATTTTTATTTGGGGGTTTATTTGGGACTCGAAAATACGTAAATAATCTTCTGAAGTACTAGAAATGTATGAAAATCGCATAATTCCTTCAAAAAAGCCTCAACTGGCAATTTCTCTTTCTATTTCTGCCTTATTTTGAAATATTTAAAATTGTTACATTCAGCCATATTTTGATTTCAGTTTATTTTCTATGACAGTCATTGTTTCAGTATAGATTTCAAATTTCGATTGCCTAATGTGGTCTTAGAGGGACAGTGACACCATATTTGGGGGTTGATTTTAATCTTGAATATATATAATCTTTAGAAGTGCTAGAAAAAAATGGTGCATCTGTATCTTTAAATATGCTTTAAGAATTTTTTTTTTTAATTTATCAGTTTTAGTTGTGAGTAGAATTGCCTGATTGATAGAAGTGTCCAATGTTTTGAAAGTGAAGGAGTAAACAGAAGACAGTTTTTGTTGTCAATCAGTAAAATTGGCTGATTGGGAGATTGTGAAGTTTGAGCCTCCAATGTTTTGAAAGAGAAGGAATAAACAGAAGACAGAAAGCAAGATGTCTAACAGTGTCTGTACACATTGTGGTTGTACTGAGATAGACAAGGATCCAGGCAGAGGAGATGCTGTGTGTACCAACTGTGGGTCTGTGTTAGAAGACCAGATTATTGTTTCTGATGTACAGTTTCAGGAAAATGCTGCTGGTGGAACGTCTGTTATTGGACAATATGTCGCAGGAGATGGTGAGATTCTTTGACTCATTTTGTTTTGGCGCCTTTGAATTTTATATAAGCTGTATATGATCAGACTCACAAATATTGTAGTAGAATTCTTATTTATTGCTTCGAGCTATATCAAACTTTGATTTGTGATGAAAGGATAAGAAATTGATTTTTGATTTTTCAACTATTGTGAGAAAAAAATCTCTATGGAAATACTTTAATACAATCAGCTTTTTCTTTCTACTTTCTTTAAATTTAATAAAATGAAGTTCTTAGTTGCAACATATGATTTTTGATCAACAAAACTTTAGTAATTGTTCATCATGTTTAGATCTCAATTTTCATTTCAGGAACAAAATCAATCAATCTTGGAGGATCATTTGCTCCTGGATATGGTCGAGAATCAAGAACAGTAACTCTTCAAAATGGTTAGTTTTATTCTGTAGGCCAGTCAAAATTTTGCCTTGATGATTCAGTATTTATATTTTTAAATTCCACAGAGATTGTAGAAGAAATAGATCAGTTATCTGAAGGTAGCACAGCTTGAAACTTTGAGCAACGACAAAGTTCAGGTTATCATTTTTCACATCTCAAAGATGAAGAGTTGATTATTATTGCAGGAGATGATTTTTTAAAAGATTAATGATAATGAATTAATATTCCAGGTAAAAAGAAAATCCAGCAATTAGGAGGTCAGTTAAAACTCAACAGTCACTGTATGGACACAGCATTTAATTTTTTCAAGATGGCCGTCACAAAGCGTCTGACTAAAGGAAGAAAAAGTCTCCATGTAATTGCAGCGTGTTTATATTTAGTTTGTAGAACAGAAGGAACACCTCATATCCTTTTGAATACTTTGACTGATAAATTTTCTTTTCTCTCTTGTCTCAAGAAAAGACAAGTCGTCTTTTTTGAAAAGCAGATAATTCTGGACATACGTGGATTTGAAGGTTCAAATATTGACAGTGAGATGTGAACACTATTTCTGATTTGCTTCAAAAATTCCTGTTTCTGAGACTAAGGTACAATTGGTCTAAGATGGCTAACCTGTCTCTTTAAGATGGTTTTTTGAATTAGGAGATGAAGTGTGTTGCTGTACTGCTATTTATTGAAAATTTTCGGTTGAGAGAAGTGCAAAGAGTACTATTTCAATTGTGATAATATCTTGTAATTGTATTCCTTAACTCTGTTTAACATATGTTACTAGATTTTAGTGATCTCCTTCAGGTTAGTCATACTTTATATTTCATTTCTCCAGAGATTTTCTCTAATTGACAAAAGCTTATCCTGTGCTGTTCAACCCTGTTTCCCCCTGTCCCTGATGCAGGTGGGAGGGGCTGACAAGGAGAAAGTGTCTAGTCATTCAGATGGGACAATAAACAAAAGCCCCTTATGCTACAGGCTGTGCACATTAAAAATCCCTCGACAGTTGGAAATCAAAAAAGAGCAGGCAAAATTTCCTTCATTGCACACTGCATGGCATTGCCCGTCTTCATAAGCACACATGGTGCAGAAAAGTAGGACGTAAAACTCCATTTTATTTCAATTTTTTGTGCTGTCGAGCAAAGATATTTATTCACATCAGAATACAATTCAAAACATCAGCAGTCTAATATAGCTGAGAATAACTAATGGTGGTCTATTTGTTGTGTTTCAGGTCAATGTATATGTATTGGGTAAAACCTACTTACATATATCCAAAGAACTGTGTCTAAATATCCCAGCAATAGGTAGGTTCATACACAGGTAATATTAGATTATGCTGTATTCATTATTTTACTGTCAAATCAGAGGTTTCCTTATAAAACAAAACTTCAATAATGAAAATATTTTATTATGAAACTACACTTTCTAAATGTATAACTGTATATTTGTCTGTCATAATAACAATGTTAGACCTATTTTACTCTAAACCCTAGGTTCGTAAAACTATAAAAGTTGGCTATTGTCATGCTACTACCTAAGAAAATCTGAAAATCTCCCTACTGTTTGCAAATGTCTTCTTTAGAATATCATAAATAATTGTCTCTATTTACAATGCTACTATATTTGTATGTACAAAAATGTAATAATATCATAAAGCATTTACAAAAGATTAATATCATTTGATAATAACAAAGTCGGATGTAAAACTCCATTTCATTTTGATAATAACAAAGTCGGATGTAAAACTCCATTTCATTTTGATAATAACAAAGTCGGATGTAAAACTCCATTTCATTTTGATAATAACAAAGTCGGATGTAAAACTCCATTCATTTCATTTTGATAATAACAAAGATAATATTGTTATTTACAAAATTACATAATGTCATTTAATGATAACAAGGTAGGATGTAAAACTCCATTCATTTCATTTAATAACATAATATTAATATTATAATTTAAGATAATAACAAAGAATAATATTAATTTGTATAATTTCATAAAGCAACTTCTTTTATGTCATTCATGATGTAACTTGCATTCAACAAACTATTGAAATATTGAAATCTCAAACTCATAACTTATCATAGATCATAATTTTTGAATTTCTGGGTTTTTTTTTTTCTTGAACAACTAAACACAAGGTGTATCATACACACATTTATGCTATGAAAACTGACATTTTCTGTTTTGGTCGATCTTAAAGTTTCAGTACAGGTTGAAAAATGAAAAATTCGGATCTAGAATATCATAAATAATTCTCTCTATTTACAAAACATTGAATCATTTAGGTCATTTTTTTTTTTCAACAAGTTTTCTTGTGTACAGTCCTTAGAGAATATTCAAACTGGATCTTTAGGTCTTTTCCAACTCAGTCATTGTGTCTAGGAAGCTGATCTCAGTGAAACACTAATGGTGGATTAAGTTCATTTAGGAGTAAAAAATCAGTTCTGGAATTTGTCCGCCTTGGACTCCAGTACCATTCGTACTATCGGAAGAACATTGAAATTGGAAGGCGACTTTCCCACATTGAATCTCCGCTAGACCTTCTTGTCCAAAATAACTCAATTCAGTCCCGTCTAAAACTGCGCTTGCAGTATAAAATGTCTCTGCTTCAACTTGGATTGGATTGTCGAACATTACTGGGAAGATATTGCTGGATCCATCAGATTTAAATTTTGTAATATTTTGTCCTAAAATCAATCCATTTTTCTTCAATTCGATTCGAACTTGGTACTCTGCAGCGCCCTTGCTTGATCCGTATAAACCAAATCCAGCCACAAATATTCTACGATCTACAGAGAATTGAATACTATCACAGCGCCCTCTATATCGCCATTGGTTACTACGATAAGCCGAGGACTGGAATCTATGAACACGATATTGTTGAAGACCTTTTCTATGATTTTTATTAAAAGTTAATTGTGGTTTACGTCTGGCAGTATAATTTAGAAATATTGAATTGGCTTCTTCTAAAGTCAGTAGTCCAGATTGTGCAGGGCCATTGGCAAATTCACTCAGAGTCATGGTAGGTAGTCGTAACAATTTGAAACAATCGCCTAAAACTTTTCGTTGATGTTCTGCATTTGAATCAATTCCTTGTCGTTTACACTCCGCGTCTGCCCAGCGACTAACAGCTTTATAAATTGACAATTCCTTGGCATTGAGAGTCTCACGACTGAGGATAGTTTCCAATGTTTTGTAATCTATCTCGGCAAATCCTTCCGACTTGAAGGCTTCTTCAGCCTGGGCATCAATGACTTCCCAGCATCTCTGCATCAATTCAACTTCTTCAAATAACCTTCCTTGGCTCAGCAACACGCAGGCATTCCGTGCACTGAGGCTCGTCTCTAAAAAACGTACACAGATTCTGGCAAGATGTGGCACGATGTATTTTTTAGCAGCATACAATGTTGCTAGTACGTTATCTGGTTCTAGATGGATTTCATCACAATACAAATACCTGAAAAATATATTTAAAATTTAGATAAAGAATAGTGAATCCAAAGGTGATAGGAGTACATATATACATCAGTGGAATTACCAGTTATGACATAGCTATATAACAGAATATCTGTATAATCAGATTAAGTAATCATCCTTAAAACTGTAGATTACTATTGAAAGAACCTGTATTAACCTTTTCTCAATAATTACTTAAAATACAGGTGTGACGTCACCCTTTGATCTTGGCATACCAACAAGACCATTGACAAGCTTTTGACCATTAACCTAGAACATTAACCTATACCGTACTTAGTTAAAAGGATTTATTATCTAATCCAAAGCTTTACCAGTATTCAATGAAATGGGAAAGTGAAAATACAGACTGCTAACTCACCTAAGAAGATTGAGGAAAGCTTGTGGCTCTACATCTGGAATATCAACTTCTTTAGTCTCACTGGCCAAACCTCCATAAAACATGGCAAAAAACACAGAGCTGCCAGTAGCAAGGATATATTTATGACCTGGTATCTGTTGCTGGTTGGGGGCTACCCCAACTGTAAACTGGACATCCGCCATTAAAGGATTGTTGAACATGACAGCATTCCTCTCACGAACTGTTGTCTGTGTAGCTTGCCAGTTGTGATCCTCGCTCACTTTTGAAGTTGGTAATGGTGGAGGAGGGGGTGGGGGGCTGCGACGTGGGGTGCTGGAATATGGTTGCCAAGATATTGGACCAGGAAGATCTGAAGCAGAGAGTCTTGATGGCTGAGTGTAGTTAGGTTGTGTGACAAAATTCGAGGGAACTTCTTGATTGACTTCATCATCTTCTTTGATCTTAGTGCCACTGGCTGCTATGCATGCCTTCATTGCCATAGTGGATTAATAATTGAATCTGAAAAAAAAAAACAAGGATAATTGTTCACATTGGTCTAAAAGCTACATCTGTAACATTTATCATCAGAAATACAAGAAGGCCTAGGCCTATCCTCTGTTGCCCACCGTAAGCATAGTACTGGTTGCTTCTTCTGGAATTGAGGAACACTTTTGATAAAAGAGCAGTAAATTAAGACACCCTTCAGCTTGCAATTATAGTAAAAACTAATCAAAAATTGCCTTTGAATACAGATAAAGTGTGACACGCTTGATAAAATAAGATTTATTTCACAATAATAATAATGATAGTGGTAGCTTCAATGAAAAGGCTTGTCAACAGATAACAGTATTATAGGCAACATTCTAAAAAAAAAAAAACACTTAATATTCGCACTGGACTGCAATAAATCACTTATAAATAAACGAAAGTGAACCCGCATTTACTACACCAGGGTGTGGAGAAAATCACGTCTCTGCAACAGATTGCCAAAGATGCAAAATCAAAACAAAGCAAAAGGCTGCAAAAACATATTCCCGATTCTAGTGATTTCCGACTCAAATCGTTATCTTGACTTTACATTAATAGTAATGACTCGAAAAGATAAAAAAATTCTTCAAAAGTTTACCTCATTAACTGTTTAATTAAATAGTAATTTGATTAATTTGGTCGCCTTTTCAATTTTGACATTTAATACGTCTCCATTTTCTCTTCCCACAATTCATCTGTTAGTATTTCAAGGGAGGTAATAGCTTTAGAGCACCTGTTGAACCAGACCACAATAAATTTAGATGCTGTTAAATGATTTACAACACTTTTCATAGTTTACTGATTAAAGTTAAAACTATAGATTTTTTTAATCTTCAATTCCTTTAGATAGCTACTCATTATGTATTTATCATTTTCATTGTAAATTGTTTCAGTGCAAGCTAAATGTAAGATATTCTGATGCTATTCTGATATTCTACCCAAATTTATATTTTTCAGACCCATGTTTGTACATCCCCCGATTTGCCTACAAGCTAGAATTTGATACGAAGACTCATGATGTTTCAATGACAGCGTTACGATTGGTCCAGAGAATGAAGAGAGATTGGATGCACACTGGTCGTCGACCTTCAGGACTCTGTGGTGCAGGTAGGTTAATCGTGAATCATTACTTTTGGAGTTTTTTGTTGAAAAGTTTTAACAGCTAATCATTAATCACAGTTTTACACAAGAAAATTATCTCCATTTTTTTTTTCAGCATTGTTAGTAGCAGCTAGAATCCATGATTTTTGCCGAACTGTAAAAGATATTATTAAAGTTGTCAAAGTCTGTGAAGCTACTATCAGAAAAAGGTAAATTTATGGAAGATTTATCACTATACAGATCATCATTTACTCCCAGTTGTGGAAGCTCAAGTGTATGATATCACTTTTGTGCAATAGCTTATTTGATCTTGAAATATACAGTATTATAGAGGTGGAAATAGTAATTTCTAAGGACCAAAACCCAAAAAATATTAAGCTTGAAATCCCTAATTTTGCAGGCTAACAGAGTTTCAAGACACACCATCAAGTCAACTGACAATCGATGAGTTTCATCGAATAGATCTAGAGGAGGAACGAGATCCACCCTGTTATATTCAGAGCAAGAAAAAAGCTAAAATACACCAGGTTCGATATTAATCTATTTTACAAACAAAATATGTTGATATAGTGACAGAACTGGAGGTGGGCAACCACAATGGCAATTTAAATCTACAAATTTGTGGGGTAAACTAAACTACCACCACCGGGCAAAATATCTTTATCACAAAAGGCCCTTTGGGATTAGTGATGTCATCAAACACTTAGTTTTAGTGGAATTGCAGGAACCACAGATGTCTGATTGGAAATTGGAATGGTGCAAATTGATGCTATCAGTGTCTCCGATACACATGAATTTTTTTAGAAAACCTCTTTACAATGCCTTTAATATAAGCTTGAAGAAGACTATCTTAATATATAATAGATATTCCCTTAGAATAATCTTGCTATTTTATGTTTTATAGCTAGAAGAAGATAATAAATTAGGAGATCTAACAGATGAAGTCAGTAATATTCAGGATGAAATAGAAAAATCACTAGAAGCCAAACGACCAAAAGGAGGCATTTATAGTGCTTATGCCAGTAAGTTTCAATCTGTAGCTGTTTATATTTATGCATTGTCTGTTTGATCATTGTTCAAAGGCTGTTCCCCCCTTTTAGACCTGTTATTCAAGTTATCAAAGCCTTTAAGCTGAGTGGAAATACCACCAAATATTGGGTAGTCAGAAGTCTATTGGATGGTAATCTTCTTCCTTCTTGTGAATTTTATCTTTTACTTTGGAAGAGGATTACAAAAATTAAATTATTTGTAATGGGGACGGAATGCATTTTTCAATCAGAATTTTCAGAGATATGTTATTTTTCCAGGGCAGTGCAAGAATAATTTCTTTTTTTGAAAAGATTTGAGTGTGCATCATATAAAACTTTTGTTTATTTGTAGAAGTGGACGAAAGTTCTGCTCCATCCACCACAGTGACAGTTGAGGTAGAGGCTGCTTCAGAATATCTAGAAAAAACAGTATTAGGTGATATAATGAATGGTGAATTAAACAGTGATCATACAAACAATAGTATAAACTCTGAGGGTGAGGAGACTACATCGTTAGAACGGTTTCGTGCCCAAGGCCTGACCCCCACGGCAGCTAGTCTAGGTATAACAGAAGTAGTGGAATCGTGTCTCAATGAAACAGAAACTAAAGACTCACCAGACAACGATACAGATGGAGTTCTAGATTTAACTGGTATAGATGATGATGAACTAGAAAAGGTGCCATTTATTTACTAAAAATATTAAGATATTGTACTTGTACTGTCTTCGTACTCTCCTGTTACAGATAGATGAGACCCTGGTTCACTTTATCTAAATGACTTTGTATAAAGCAATGATATTTAACCTAAGAAAATGATCATTATTGTATCATGCCACACTCATAAGTAAATTAAGACTTTGGTTTCTGTTTACAAATTGTTATTGTGCAAGCATGTTGATTGGCTGTTTTGCAATCATGTGACAACATGAATATTTATTACCTTAATCCTTAATACAAGAATTATGTGCTACAGTGAAACAAGGTAGAAATATGTAATTGTTTGAGAAATTTGAAACGACTATAACAGAATTATTCATCAATTTAGACTATCATTTTTGTGTTTTGGCTTTACATGTTGAGAGCTAGACATGAAAATTCATCACAATATAACTTCTTCCAATTTCCAATTTTCTTGTCCTCCATTTTCCAGTTATTATTGAATGAAGATGAAGTAAAAATAAAGACAGATATTTGGATGAAAGCCAATGAAGATTATTTAAAAGAACAGAAAGAAAAAGAAGAGAAGAAAGCTTTAGAGGAAGCTGAAGCAGAATTAAAACCTGAAAAAAAGGTAAAGAGCTTTACTATAATGTTGAGATAGAATCTTTTATTGAATGCTCAATAACTGACCACTTGGCCTGTCTCGAACTTGACTATTGTGTTGATATAAAATCTGATCTAGTCCACATTTACACAGATGAAATCTTGATTACATTATTTTAGAAAATTCAAGAATAAACAACTATTATTTCATATGATTTACTAGTAAAAGTGAAAAAAAAAACTAAATATTATTCAAAACCATGCAATATATAAAAGTTATTTTCTCTATATTATAGAAAATAAAGAAAGTTCGAAGGAAGCCACTATCAGAAGCCTCCAGCGCTAAAGAAGCTATATCAATGTTGATACAGGAGAAAAAACTGTCCAATAAAATAAACTACGATGTTTTAAACGATTTGGTGAAACCAGAAGATATCAAAAGTAGTCCATGCCCATCTCCTTCGCCTTCTGTTACCATGTCACCACGACCTCATTCTAACAGTAGTCTTATAAACAGGTACTAGTTATTTAAATTGATCATATAGTCTATTTCTTTAGATAGATGGAGTGGTCTGCAGTCGAAATTGTCCCATATTCTTGGTCTTAACCCTGAGAAGACAGAGTGTAAATAGAATAAGGTGTCAGAACAAAATTTTTACAATATAAAAACATAATGATGTAACATGACTTGATAACTGGGGCTACACATGCCGTTTGGTATACATATATATATGTATTTGCCAGTCTTGGTCTTCAAACAGGTCACAAATAAAAGTTTTAAATTTAATTTGCAGGTTTAAACGACCAAGTTTTAGTTTTGAATCCAGTTTAGATATGGACGTAAGCTTTATACTTTGATTATTATTCTGATACTTATAAATAAGTTGAAATAGGTGTGTGGAAAAAATCAAAAATGAGGCTAAGAAATTTAAAGGATAAAATAACGTGAATTAAGAAAAAGAAATGCCTCCATATACAAACTTCTTTTATGTATGTGTTTAATGGAAAAATCTCAGATTGTTATCAATTGGAAGATATCGTCAGCACACAAGCTCCAAAATGCAATTTAAAGCTAAACTTGATATTTGATTTTTATATTATAGGTAGCAAGTAAGAGAGCTAAACTAACAGCCCCTACTATCAAACCATCATTACCTAAACAAGATACAGTAGTAGAAAAAGGCCCTATACAATATAATAATAAAGGTTTGTTATTTCTGCATCTTCACCTTGGTTGGTAGATGACAAGTTAACGTTCGTTAATATTGCAAACTAGGTAGTTGTTGGTAGTCGTAGTAGTCTTCACCTTAAACCTCATCCCCTTATCAATCTATAGATCGAAAGCTTCACATGGGTGTTAAATTTTAACCAATGGAAACAACCTTTTTCATAGGAGACTGGTTGTCTATGTGAATGTGTTTCTTATTAACAAAACAAACAGTAAAATTAGCTGTAAAGAAATATTTTGATTGGCTAGTTTAATAATCGTGTGTTATAACTATTTATTATATTGTTTTGGACCTGTTGAAGAGACTATAGGCTAAAATATGATGTATCTGAAAAAGTGACTATATTTGGTGATGTTTAAATGTCTATATATTTGATATATATTTAACAGAAGATGAAGAAGAAGGAGATTACTATGAAGAAGAGGAAGAGGAAGAAGATTGCAATATGTCTGCTGCTAAATTAATGGGTCATAGTACAGGTAAATTTGAAATTTCATCTTCTGCTAATTCTTCAGTACTCAATTATATATCTGGATTAACAATTCATTCTTGATATTTGTTTTGTTCTGCCATGTTTACTCCACTTACCATCCATGATCTGACGAAATTGTTATACATCTCATGTTCTGGGTTAAACCAATCAAATGCTCTGTTGCTCTCAAAGAAAAGATTCGCTTCGATATTCATGGTTGAACACTTGTAAGCCTGTGATCTAACCACTTTAACAGTTAGCATAAATTATGACAATGTCTTGGATCTTGCAAACAGGGCCAAATTAGCAGCCCTGGACAATGTAGAAGGGATATCTTTTTTCCCAAATTATTGATACCCATCTATCAGGGGCAGTGCCAGCCTAGGGGGGGGGGGAGGGACAAATGCCCCTGCTGTACCCCCACTAGTGTGGCCACCAACATCTATTGCTTTTAGTTGAATTGAATTTGATTTTTTAGATGTAAATTATGAAGATGAAGTTGATTATGATTATGATGATGATGATTGAAAGTCTAGCTAGATTAATGGCAGATACACAGACAGCCCAGGTATCAAAGATGGTCAATGTTATTGAGTTGGAGTTGAATTTATGAAACAGATATGAAATCCATGGCTTAAAGATGGCTTCACACATGTTTTAGACTAAAATCAAGGACACTATTTGATTGTTTGTGTTTTAACCAATCATAGATGTCTATGTATGTACAGACTGGATAATAGAAAAAAGACAAATTGACTGTAGGACATTTTGGTAAATTCGTCAGTCTTTTTATTTTGATTAAAATCAAATTATATTACCTGTGCATTTAGATTATTACTTACAATTATGTTGACAATTAATACGAACTGGTTCTGAGTTGGTCTGGATCTATTGGTGAATACGCATAAACCTAAAACTTAAATGAAGATCATGTTCAAATTTAAGCCCTCTCCGAATAATGACTCCTGTGATCTTTATTCGTGAGAACAACACAGCTTCTTTAGTGTGCAATCGATTTTCATAAAACTTGGTATGTAGGCATATGATCACAGAGAAAGTTTCTTGTTTCACCTATTAACATGTGATCCACAATGTTATTATATCAATAATTTATCAATAAAACATAATATAACTATAATTGTAAATATCCCATTATGAATCTCTATGTTAAATACACATTCTGTTTCATGTATTGATAATATTATCAGTATATTGTAATTGTAAATATATTTCACTCATTTGTATGTAGATAAATTCAAACTGTATATATATTTCACTCAGTTCTGTAGAATGTAGATAAATTCATTTTGTTTACAACTGTAGATAAATTCATTTTGTTTACAACTGTAGATAAATTCATTTTGTTTACAACTGTAGATAAATTCATTTTGTTTACAACTGTAGATAAATTCATTTTGTTTACAACTGTAGATAAATTCATTTTGTTTACAACTGTAGATAAATTCATTTTGTTTACAACTGTAGATAAATTCATTTTGTTTACAACTGTAGATAAATTCATTTTGTTTACAACTGTAGATAAATTCATTTTGTTTACAACTGTAGATAGATTCATTTTGTTTACAACTGTAGATAAATTCTTTTTGTTTACAGCTGTAGATAAATTCATTTTGTTTACAACTGTAGATAAATTCATTTTGTTTACAACTGTAGATAAATTCATTTTGTTTACAACTGTAGATAAATTCATTTTGTTTACAACTGTAGATAAATTCATTTTGTTTACAGCTGTAGATAAATTCATTTTGTTTACAACTGTAGATAAATTCATTTTGTTTACAACTGTAGGGCATTTTAATACATGTATAGTCAGTCATAGATATTGGTTGAGCACATCTAGAGACCATTCACACTCTAGCACATCTTCACAATGTCACTCTATTACGAATTTCGTACTTATACCTTGACTGCAAAAGCCAATATTCCTTGGTTGGATTGAACGCCACCGAATTCAGTCAATTGACTTTCTGTCGAGGGCTCTGTAAAGTTCTCATGAAACACTCTAGACTTGGGTGTATTCAAGAGTAGCATAGATGATAACAAACAGTATACAAGCCTGACTTTTATTGCCAATTTCCTACAATTGGTCCCCAAATGTTGGTTAATATCTATGACAAATTGTTTATTATGGAAAAATAAAATATTTCATCAAAGACTGGAAGGGTGTCTTATTTCCTTGGTAATGTATTATTAATGATAGTTGGTTAATTCAAATCTGCTTGTGGATTCTCAAAAATTTGGCAAACCAGTTGTCAATTGATTTAGGGGGGTGTTGGAGCATACTACACAGTTGACAGGCAGCTGTCACTGACACCATAGCAGTGCCATGTGCCCATGTATTGTGGCTGTACTTGGACTTATAAACACTTTTTCAGTAAGAATGAAGGAATGTACAGAACCATTATGTTGATTTAGTCAAACACTTAACAGAGTAGAGTTGTACTACTAGCCAACAGATTGTAAAGTATGTTAGTGGTATAATGACAGCTCTCTGTTGTTATAACAACAGTATGCCACCTCTGTTGTACAATGATGACTCAATGTTGTAAGAACAATAATAATAGTTATGATATGGGATATGCGACATCTGATTAGTCAGACATTCTGCGCAATCCGACATCATTTTCTGGTCCCGATTGATTTCCTTCTTAGACTAGTTTAAAAAACTCTGAGTACTCCGAGTAGTTATAGTTGAAGACAGATATTTTGTTACATTCTGGTCCAATTCAAAATCACGAGCAGTCCACTTTATTCGTAGGTAGAATAAATAGAAATTGAAACAAAACAAGGTTGAATTATTCTTTCCATTTCTACTTACACTACCTAACAATAATCATGTCAGTGTTTTGAATCCAATCTGGATGTATCTCTGCTTCACCATGGTAGTCGACCCAAAATAAAGAAAATATTAAAAATAATGATATATTTATTGATACTTGAAGAAACAATGACATGAAATAAGTTAAAAACCAGGGGAGAGACAGTGTTAATGCATGGTTAAAGATGGGTTCCCTTATTTTCATTTATGAATAGAAAGTAGAGGTGTTCTAATGACTTGGAAAAATACCAGTTTGTCTCATGTTCATAATTAATTCATTATTAGCTAAATTATTCCAATGAGTGAACGATCAAGAAAGGTTTTGATCAGTTAAAACTCTTAATGATATGATTAAGTTTACATGAAAATTCATTAGAAACAACAATTAATCAAATAGTTTGCTTAATTTGACACTAAAAAATAAGGAAACCCATCTTAAATAAAAACTCAAAATGATGACCTGAAAATGTTACTCTTAAAAATCTCATGGGATACAGGATTTAAAAAAATACCTTGTCAATTGCAAATAATGTGGAGACTTCAAAGATGAGCAATAAAAAGGTTTGATAAAACCATGTTATTGTAGAAACACAAAATGATAATGCAGGATGATTAAAAATAGATATAAAATCAATTTCAACAATTATTTACAAACCAAAAATCCAATCTAATTTTAGTTTCATTTTGTGTTTTTTTTCTACAAAAGACTCCACTTGCCATCCATGATCTGTAAACATTTTCATGCATCTATTGTTCAATGTTATTACTTGTATTTATTCTACCTAACATAAAGGCAATTTCTAGACAAATACTTAAACATACTAAATATTGTATTATAGCGACAGACTAAAAATTCTTTGCAGTTAAACCATGCAATTAAAACTATTATTTATAATATAATTTATTCTCAATTACACTAACTAAAATAATTAGTGTCTCTAAAAACTTAAAAAACCATGTCCATTGGACCAGCAATCAAAAACCTCATAGGCAAAGAAGGATGACTGCAAAATTCATCCCACTTTCATGTAGGCAAACAAAAACAAAGAATAAATGGCACATATAGAAATAAACACCAACAGAAGATTACTAGTAATTCATTTTTAAAAGCTTCGATTTTATATTAAACAGCGTAAAAATGTGAACATAAATAAGAAAATAAACGACTTGTTCATTAAGCAACGGTAGCATTATTCACTTCATTATTATGTATTGTTGCTTCAGGAACATGGTTGGAAACATGATCAAGCCAGTCTACAGGGTAGCTTGAATTGAGCTATTAGCTGCTAAAAAAATTCAGTATTATAGCTGAAAAAAGGCTTATCAGCTACTAAAGCATGCCAAATTAAGCTCTTATCAGCTGATAAAGTTTACTGTAAGCTCTATCAGCTGGCAAAGCAATACAAATGGTTAACTGAAATTCAGCTCTATCAGCTCTTAAAACAACTTAACAGGGAATTCAGCTCTATCAGCCTGTAAAGCAAACTTAACAGGGAATTGAACTCTATCAGCTGGTAAAGCAAACTTAACAGGGAATTCAGCTCTATCAGCTGGTTAAGCAAACTTAACAGGGAATTCAGCTCTATCAGCTGGTAAAGCAAACTTAACAGGGAATTTAGCTCTATCAGCTGGTTAAGCAAACTTAACAGGGAATTCAGCTCTATCAGCTGGTAAAGCAAACTTAACAGGGAATTCAGCTCTATCAGCTGGTAAAGCAAACTTAACAGGGAATTCAGCTCTATCAGCTGGTAAAGCAAACTTAACTGGGAATTCAGCTCTATCAGCTGGTTAAGCAAACTTAACAGGGAATTCAGCTCTATCAGCTGGTTAAGCAAACTTAACAGGGAATTCAGCTCTATCAGCTGGTTAAGCAAACTTAACTGGGAATTCAGCTCTATCAGCTGGTTAAGCAAACAAATAAAGTGTCCTAATACAGGCATTGAAAATTCTAATAGAATTACACCATATTCACAAAATATATTACAATTATAAATCCATATTAGTAACAAAGACACATCCTCTAACAAATCTTCTATCATTAGGGACAACTTGGATAGTTAAAATTAAGTTACTTTATTTGGTAAAATAAACAGACTTAGGTCAAAAACATAATTATATTAACAGTTTAAACAATTATAGCAAAACATCTCTAACATGTACAATGCGTGTTCTAAAGGTGCCGGCACACGAGCGGTCTTGGTTGGAGATTTTTGTCCCCGCACAAATCTTTAGTAAAATCTTGCCTGTGCCTGTGCTTCCACGACAAGATTATCGTGTCGTCGACAGGATTTATAATATCAAACCAGTTTGAAAATTGTTTCGGTAGTTTTATCGTCTGCAAGACAGACCGTCATCATCCAATCAGATTCCTTTTCCTTTCAATTGCATGCTCCACACGTGATTATTGACAAGGTGGAGAATGACAGACTGGAGACTTTTGTCTCCTCATGTGCCCGTGCCAGTCGTTGGAACTCAAGAAAAGACTCTAATCGGCAGAAGTCTCCAACCAAGACTGCTCATGTGCCTGCACCTTTAGGAATCCACCTTATAAAATGCAGGCTCTATAATTCTCAAAATAAAAAGATTCAAGGCAACCTAAAAGAGGCTGATTTAGATGTGAGTTCTTACATCTTTTGCCTTCCCACATCAATTTTATTATGCATGCTGATTCTAAACCACCCCTCACCCCCAACTCTACTTTCCCTTACCCCACTACATCGCCCTATTAAAACTATACATATAATAATCAATACTGTTACTCTCTTATTTAATCTAATTTTACCGGGTGATATGAATGTGAATCATACAGGTCTCTGTCCCCCCCCCCCCCCTAATAACCACACCCATTTTCCATACCCTACTACAGTGCCCCTTTTAAACTAAGATTTATGATAATCGAATGATTTACATGGGGACACCATAGTGATTATCAGTTGCGTATAGTTGCGACTAAAAATAGAGGTCATAAGTTTCACTGAAATGTGAGATGTGAACCAGATATTTACCCCCACCCCCCTCACCCCCTCCCCCTCCCCAAATTTTGCCCTAGTGAAAGATTATGATCAATGATCTGAAATACTGGTGCTCTCCATTTCATCTGATTTCCTAGGTGATGATAATAATACTGGGGTGACATCTCGACTTTTATTCCTTGCACTAGAACTCTTACTGGTGGAGGCTGAAAAACAAAACATTATCTATAAATGGAGGGGTAAGCATTTAAGATCAGCAGACACTAGCAGATTTCAGAAGGGGGGACTAGGGGGCGGAGTTAACCTCTACTTACCAATATCTTTATATTCAGGACTAGGGGGCTGAGTTAACCTCTACTTACCAATATCTTTATATTCAGGACTAGGGGGCGGAGTTAACCTCTACTTACCAATATCTTTATATTCAGGACTAGCGGGCGGGGTCAATCTCTACTTACCAATATCTGTATATTCAGGACTAAGGGGCGGAGTTAACCTCTACTTACCAATATCTTTATATTCAGGACTAAGGGGCGGAGTTAACCTCTACTTACCAATATCTTTATATTCAGGACTAGCGGGCGGGGTTAACCTCTACTTACCAATATCTTTATATTCAGGACTAGGGGGTGGAGTTAACCTCTACTTACCAATATCTTTATATTCAGGACTAAGGGGCGGAGTTAACCTCTACTTACCAATATCTTTATATTCAGGACTAGGGGGCGGAGTTAACCTCTGTCGTTTGATATCGTATGATTGATTAGCACCATTAGTTAGTTGTGGGTAGGGACCAGATAACATCCATTTCTCACGATCCTGGATGTAAGATGTCATGGAATAACCAGGTATCTACAATATAATATAACTCCATAAACACGAGATCATCTTGTGCTGTAGGCACGTATTTCAGTTCTACAATAAACATAAGGACAGCAGCTTTGAAATGAAACGAAAAGGAATTTGATCGCCTTCTTTTTTTATTACCAGCTTGCCATGTAATATTCAAGCACAGCTATTATAAATAAACATGGCCAAGAAGGCTAAAATTTCTACGTTAAGCTCTGAACACTACTTAATGATTAGCTTTCAATACAACAATTTTTGTTTTTGAGACCGAGGTAGGATTGACCTTCAAAAATGGTGAACCATGGCCTTTATTCAAATTTAAATATCATTAGTTTCTACCTTTTCTTTCAATTTTCTTCTTCCTACACGGATTTCTCTTCCATTCTGAAAATAAATAATCGTTTTCTTCATTATAACATTTGATGACAAATTTGAGGCCAAAATCAAGCAAGTTGATGTTAGATATGGTGTATCGGTATTCTATTCAACACACTTTTACAGTTTCCACTGAAACCATCATTTATTGTGGCCTGGCAAATTATATCCAGTCTAGCTTAAGATGCCAGACATTGAAAATTCGAATGAAAGGATGGAAATTTAAAACACTTTCTACGCCAATGTGGGTTGATAAAGACAGACAACATCGTGCAGTGTGCAATGAGGAAATTTCAAAAGATATTAACAGCTCTGATATTTCGAGACTGAATGAAACTTATTTAATGTCACTTACAGTTAGTAAAAGTCGACTGACGCGACTGCGTATATTAAGTTGAGATCTTGGTAGATTTTCTAATGTTTTTGAGATGAGACGTTGAAATGAGACCCCTGAGGAGAATCTATGATCGTCATGTTTATTTTCCCACCAGGGTATGATCGTTGGTATTCCACAAACCGGTCCTGGTTCGTGGAAAAAATCACTCTGTTCATCATCAGCTGGAAAATAAATTATTGGTAAATTAACTTCAAGTTGACACATTATAACTAAATAACACAATTTTATGAAGTAATACTTTATCAAAATGACACACCAAGACTGTACAGGTCAGTGAATACAACCACACCAATAATTTTAAACCAATTTACATATTTCAGCATAGAATAACTAGACTATCAAACAATGACCATTCATATTAATTAATTAATTAATTAGGTACATGAAAAGATTTTGGTTTTATCTGTAGATGATTATTGATACAGAAGACGATGATACTACCACAGATAGTATTACAGAGACATCCGTAGGTATCTAATTATCTTAACTTGCACCTTGTTTTACCATAAATCTTTTCTTTGTACCTGGGCCAGTGCTTTCATAAGACTATGTTCGCATCACCATCTAATACTATTAAAATAAGTGACTTTGAGAATCACTTCAGTACAATTATTTGGTCAAGTTTTATCTGTACAGTTTGGGGAAATTGAGTGCTATAGACTGTTACATTTCGGTAAGCTTGAATTGACTTCAAAAATACAACTTTAACCTGTCTACATTTATACCCCTTGAATGTCATGTAGTAAAGTTTGTTAGTATAGTTTGATAAAGACTAGAGGGTCTTGTTGAAACGTCGCTGAAATGAAATTAGTAATTGCCTTCCAGAATTATGTTATATACATTTACACTAACCTTCTCTGGCCTCATCATTAGTGACAATACCACCGTCACTCTCTGTTTCACTTGAACTTAGTGAACTACTTTCTCTGTTAAAATATAAAATAATATTGTGAACCTATTAGAAACTCTAGCTCTGATAATCACATTTCTCTGAATATTCTTTATTTTTCTACAAATACTGGATGCATGATATATCTATTATTGTAAAAGAACTGTAAAAGAATGTTCCATGTATGGAAAAAGAGTTCACATATGCCCAAAGCAGGGATCGTGATTTGCCCATATATGCCGGACATCACCGACTGTGCTGCCAAAATGTCTGACTGCAATTAGCCTTTGTCGGACATCAAGTATAGGCCCCAAAGCTTACCACACCATGGAAAATCTAAAAATCTAAAACTTACTGAGAATACTGTTCCTGTTCCATCAACTCTTGACAATCCTGGCTAGTAGAGGGTTGAGAGAATGAATCATGACGACATTTGGTATTCCGTTTACGTTTTCCCAGAACGAATTGTTCCCCTTCTTGTCTTTGACAGTCTCCACTTCCTTGATTTATATCTTGTAACGTTGTATCATGGTCTGGCTTCATCTCTTCAATTTCATTATCATCAAACGTAGAATCTATAGCCATTCGCTTGTATTTCCTACGTCGCCTTTGAGGTCGTGTTGGGGAGAAATTTTCTGTCACAGAATCTGATTCTACAGGGGGTACAGCATCTGTTATTGGGACGCCAAGTCTATGCATGTGTTTTGAAATATCATCGGAATCACTGGTTTGGGCCAAGATATCCATATAGTTCCTTATAGAATCATCAATACTGCTTTCAGAAGCTTCACTGATAGTACCGCAATCTTTTAACAAATGTAAATCCGACCGTCTTTTCTTTCCCCGACGTTTTTTATGTGGTCGACAAGTATAAATATTAGGGGAGACATTTTCCGACAGCTGTCTGTGACCACGTGATGATTCATCTAAAGCACTTGATAAGTCTTTTACAAGCTGATCCATAATAATGATGTTACCATTGGAAAAAACTCGTAAATTTTGAAACTCTCTAACGATATTATTCTCCATCAGGAATAATAAAAAACACAATTATTCTGAAAAAAGAAAAAAAAAAAAAAGTATAAGGTAAAGAATTTCAAATAGAAAAATATTGAAAGATTAAAATAATAGCAACAAAGGAATAAAAAAAAAAAATATGGAAAAATCATAACATCAAAAAAGAAAGAGAAAGCTGGAATAAAACTCAACTGTTTTAGAGAAACACCATCTCAATCTGAATGAGTGTTTATGAATTACAGAAACCACAAACAGAAGTAATTAAAGGGATTGTTTAGAGGTTTTCACAACTTTATATAAGTGTATCGTGGTCATTTATAGCTGCTAATTTTCAGTCAGATGTCTGTAGTTCCAGTAATTATATGAATGCTTAAAAGCATTCTAAGTCACCACTATCGCAAAAGCTGCTAATTAATAATTAACAACATTTAAGGGATTGACGTCATAAAAAATCAATTCAATTCGAATTGCAAGACCCACATACATAGCTGTAAAACTGCAATGGTGTAAATCATTGTTATCAGCCTTCCAGTTATTCATAAAAAGTTTAGAAAACCTCTTTACACTAATTATTAACAAACAAATGCAATCGAATTGACCGTTCAAATTACCACATCATCAATGTGAGAACTGCAAAAAATCTCCCAACTTTTTGATGATGTAGGTAAGTGGTATTATAGTTTTAAAGCCAAGTTTGATTGTAATTTTTTGGACAAATGAAATGACTTGTTGTTCTGTAAAATACTTCATATTTGTCACATTAATTAAATATTATTAACAGCGCACATGTTACCAAACTAATAACAACTTTAATTGTTTTTCTGTCCCAAATCAGTTATGAATTCACATGTCAACGCTTTCTTTCAATAACAAGAATCAGGATATTTATAGCCAGAACCTTTAAATAATCAATCTGCCAAATGTTTTTAATCACTCAGTAGGGGTAGAAAACGGTGAAATTAACAAAAGCAGGTTGTCAGGTATTGTAAATTATTATGGTACTATTTTGAGGTAACAAAAATAGAGAAAGAAACAGCAATATTTTACAAGGATACAACTAAGGTTCACATTGATCTTTCAAGACTTAAATCTTAATTTATAGCTAGGTCAGCTGAAATAATGAGGATAAAAAACTTAATTAAGGTCACCAGACTTTTACATGCCGACCATGTTAAAAACCCACCACCACCATTTATTTGACTTTACCCAGTAAATGATGTCAGGTTAAGTTAGAAACCTTTAGTTACCCTACACTAATCAAATAGTGGTATCGCAGCCCTTTTTTGATCAGAATATCTCCTATCGTAGCCCTATAATGAAGACTCAACAGAACATCACATGAACATATTTTGATTTCAATAACATTGAAAAAGTATATAGATCTAGCTCACATGAAATTTTATGGAAAAAAAATATCCGCTAAGTCTACGCGATGAGAAAACAGGGACAGGACAGGAGGAAAGGGAAAAAATGGGTCAAGTTCGATTCACGAAATCTGTCAAAGTTTACATCTTCCTCGCCAGTTTGTCAGTAACAAAAACTTGTTAAAAGGAATCTTAAGATGGATCACTTACAATATGCATATCTAACAAACAAATTACAGTTGAATCTTTTTACGATTATAATTATTTTAATCATAAAATTGACAATCTGTAAAAATTAGCAGCCATCTTTGTTATGATCACGTTCAATGAGGTCTCGCGAGAGTAATAAATCATCACGTGACTAGCATTATATCACGTGACAAAATTGTTTATTAGGTCGAAGGTCAGTGGGTTATTTCATTAGTTACCGAATCTCAGCGAGAAAATCATCATGTCTGGAGGAACTTACAACGAGAATTTTGGCAAAAATATGTTCCAATATGGCCAATCAAGGTGAGATTGTTTGTATTAATGTTTAAATTTTAGATTTACCTATCGTAATTCAAAAGTTAACAGTGAAATTATATCATATAAAGAAGGTTGCTATGGACGCTATTATACTATTTTAAAAGGTTCTCGTTAATGAATGAATGAATGTATGTATAGATAAATGAATGCTGGTTGCAGCCGATTTATATTCGCATTAGGTTTGCTACAAAACACGACAGTCCAATCAATTAAATAATTGAATTATCATTGAAAAAATTACGTAGTTGATTACAGATAATAGTCTATATATTTAATCCAATGGTTGAACTAGTAACCATATCGTACTGTGAGAATTTTTTTTTGTCATTCACCACTATGACAATAAAACCAAACTCGATATAGGTGAGCTTTATGATGCCTAAGACCCACATCTGTCGACTTGACACAAAAAAAAAATTATAACATGATTGTAGGCAGATTCCCATTTAACTGTTAACTGAAACGTACTTTATTCTTTTCAGAGTTCCAAGCTACTCGAGAAACCACCCGATGATTCCGAGGCTGTATGTACAGGAATGGAAAACCGACATGAGGAACCGTGAACTCATAAACAAGGTAAGCATCGACACTGTGGTACCAAGCGGCGTTTCACTTTGGCAACTGTGAGGGAACAATTTCCAAGTAAAATATACGTAATTCAGCGGATAGTGTAACCCTTTATCAACGGAATATACCAGTTTACACTTCTTCTGGCTGTGACTTTTGACATTAGATTATGACGTAACTATTCAACCTAAGTAGTATTAGCAAGAGAATACGTCATAATCAGATTAAGTTTGTACTACTATAATTACACCGACCAGTGCTTTCATTGAGACTTGTCTCAATACATAACCTACTGCCAACACCAGACGGCTCATAGAAGCTAATGGTGTCCCCGATACACACACAAGAGCCAGAAAAACTTCTTTGGAATCCTCCGCTCGTGTTTTGACTTGCATATACATGTATACCATTCTCCAACTATCGACAGTTTCCAAGAATCTGAATCTAAATATTTTTCAGAGCGCTAACTATTGGACCATCGTGGACCTTTTATGCATTTACCGGTTTGTTTTTTAAATAAACTGATAGGAGTCATGTATTGTTTTTGTATAGATAACATTCAGCAACTGTCATATCGTAGCCCAGACCTAAAGCTTCATATGTTGCAAAGCAAGAGTGGAACTACCACAGTGGACCGTTTGGAATTTTATATCTTTTTTTGATTACTGACAGGAATCGTGCAGTGTTTAAAAATCACTTTTATATATTTTCCAGAATGCCGAGTTGGGAAGAATTCCTCATTATGAACACGATGAAAACCTCTTTCTGGACAAACGAGAACAGATGAGCTATAATGTAGAAGATCGACACCGAGTAGATTCAAAATACAAAATGCCCTCCCGATCTAAACTACTCCGTCCAAATTTCCACCATGAAACATCCAAGTATCAGAGTTCCTTAATGTTCAGAACTGATAAAGAGTTGGTATAAAAGTTAGTCGGAATAGTGGCATGGAAGACTGGAAGCGTTTGAGAAGCTGAAAATTTATAACCCGAAAGGAAGTCCAATCTTTGATTTTATGAAAATACGTACCGAGGTTTCAACTCAACCAATTTTTTCCTTTGAACGAAAAACATTTCGAAGAGAAGTACATTTTTACATTTCGTCGACAAAAATCAAACATTTTCATTATCAATTGCAATGTATGAAAATTTAGTGAAATTAAAAATTTTCTTCGATTTTTGATCAACCTTGTTAGAAAATTTATTATGGTAAAAACTCAATGTCACAAATTTGGTGGGAAATTACAAATCTTTTCTTTTAAATGAATGGTTGTTTTTGATATCTTTATTAACATATTGAAATATTGAAACTGTCGGTACTATTTTGAAATTTGATTGCGTTGTTTATATTAATGATTAATATAACAGTTGGAAGGGAGGTTTCGTGTGTGATATTTTTGTTATATTATTGTATTCAAACATGTTAATTGAAAACAGTATTAATTTATTTTGACATTTATTGTTTGTATTGATCTATTTATTAATTTATGATTTTATAAATGCCTTCTAAAGGTCATTGTCTAATGTTTTATTATATACTGCACGTGCATTTTGTCTCTTGACCTATTAATCTATTTATATTGTGTATATATTCCAATAGTAAATGTTTTGATTAAAACTATAATATGTGGAATTTAAATTTGTTCTTATATATTATGAAATTAACAATGTTATTCTCGAGCTGGCTATTGGATGTCAAGATGATTAACGCAATGGTTCAACTACCATATGGACTTACTAAACCAAATCCAGGGGCCCCCACGCCCACGACAAAAAAGAATTAAAACAGCAATTCAGCAAGAGCATAATACAGTCGGAAAAAGAACAGGATATTGCTTTAGATATATCAAATTCAGTCCTTGTGCCATACCAACTAGCTGTTTAAGACAGTAGATCTGACACGGCGCATGATAGCACATTCCAACAGTCAAACATTTTCTTGGTTTGTGAAGTGTGAGGATATTAATCTGACAGTGAAACTGGGAGTACAAAATATAGGGAGACAACTGTTGGAACTAAGAATTTAAATGCGAAAGCTCTCAGACGCAAGCCGCCCAATGGGGGTATGGGAAGGTACTTGCATTAGAAAACAGTTGAAAATTGTAATTGATTTCATGTATTATGAGACGTATTTGGGGAAAAACTCACTAAAATAATTTTTTTCACAAAAATAAAGTGTAGGTACAACTGGGGACTGATACATAGTTTAGGATATAGCAGTTTACCACTGTAAATCATAGTACGTGAAGAATTGACTATGAAATTTAGTACCGGAAGTGGACTAATGTAACTGAGACCTAATTGACTTGTTACCGTCAATAATGGCCACGATGAAGAGTATGAAACTTTATATTTCCGTCTTTGTTGTTTATCTTATTGAGTTTTGTGTGAGTAAAGAATCCACCAAACCAATTGAAATCACAGAAGACAACTGGACTGATATCTTGAAAGGGGAGTGGATGCTGGAATTGTGAGTATGCTTGAAATATAAGTCCGGAAAGTTGCAACTAAAAAATCAACAAATTTAAAGCGAAAGTAGAGGTTTTAATTTTTCCTCTTCCTCGTATTGTAACGGATTTATTCCTAAATTAACTCCCTTATTGAATTGTTTGAGAGAAATATTATGTTAGGTTGTTCAAATTTGCTTTATGTAGATTGACCTTGAGTTATGTTGTACAGTGAAACGTGGACGTGTCTCCTATGAAATTTATCATCCATATATGCATAGTATGACTTTGACAAGTTCTAGCCCAAAGGCAAATTTTGATATACTGTTTGTCTTTTAAACAATGTATTGCTTTGTTATGATATTTATATTGGCTAAATATCTGACTAAAAGCGTCTAGTGTTTTCAATTAGTAGGCCTACTCCTAATTAAATAATGAACACTTGTTGTAAGCCTAATGATACATGCTGTGTAGTTTCTAAAATTTCCTCATTGCACACTACAGGACATTGGCTGTCAAAACAAAGAAATAAGACTTCAAATTGACATCATATGTTAGATATCTTCAAGAAAATTCATCATAAAATCTGTTTTTCAGCCATGCCCCATGGTGCCCTGCATGTAAAAATTTCCAGTCTACATGGGAAGCCTTAGCTAAATGGAGTGATGATTTGGATGTTGGAATTGGTCAGACAGATGTCACAGAAAACCCAGGTAACTGAATATAACGTTAAAACACAGTTTTAGACAGTGTCATTACCAATTATAATTGAAAGCACCATGGTTCACATAGTTACTATATAATTTTGCAGGACACACAATAAACTGACCACAATGCAACAGTGTGTGATATCAGCAGACATAATCAAAAAAATCAAAAACAATAATTTGAAACTAATGCTTTCAAATTATTGTTTTTGATTTTTCATGAACTTGGTACTGAATTTTTCTTTTCTAGGTTTAAGTGGAAGGTTCTTTGTGACTGCTTTACCTACAATCTACCAGTAAGTTTCTCCCTTTTTCTAAAAATATTTCTACACTTAAGAATTTAGCAGACTTCTTCAATTCTTTAATTTACTTCTTCTTTTCTAATGTTCTTTTTCTTCGACCACAGTAGAGCTTACAACTGAATTATTTTTTATGATTTACAAATGATATTCTTGAATACCTCTTCAAATATAAATCTATTATTGGTTGTCATTTTCATCAACTTGGGACTCCAAGCTGAGACAATCAGTATTTTGGATTTGGAATTTCAATCCATACAAAAATGTTTTGCAAAATTCTATGGTCAGACAGTAGTATGATATAAACTCAGCTCCAAAAAAGAAAACCACACCACTTATTTGAGCATTTACCCTTTGAACCCCAAGTGGAAATGAAATATAATGTCATATAAAAGTAAAAAACGTATGACGTTAACGTTAACTTAGTAACGGTTGGGGTTCAAAGGGTTAAGCTAATAAAGCATATCTATTCAGAGACATTTTTAACTTAAATTTTGGTATGATATATTTTCAGTGTAAAAGACGGAGTGTTTCGAGTGTATTCAGGATCGAGAAATGAAAATGACATCATCAGTTTTATAGATGAAAAGAAATATTTAGAGTTGGATCCAGTATCATGGTTAACAGACCCAAAATCTTTACAGTATGTTATCATTATACTCCTTCAGATTCTATTGTAGCCAGCTAAACTGAATTTTACAGAAAAACATAGGAAGGAGTCCACTATGAAAAGTGTTTTCTCATTTTCTAATGCATAGTTAGTTTTGGTAATATATTCTAAACTATTCACATTACAAGAGAGTAGTCTTTAAAAATTTCATGATCAGTTAAAAGATACTTCAATTACCTTTCAATTACTGTACATTAAAAAAGAAATGCTAGTCTAAATGATGTTTCTGTAGAGAGGAGGGGAGATAACTTGCCATCCATGGAAAGCCAACTGTAGAAGCCAACTATATAAATTAGTTTTGCACAGTGATGGAGCCAGGTTGACCTGCGAGGGGAGGGGGAAATATCTGAGATTGCCCAAATTTCTAACCTAGTTATGAGAGTAGTGCTCAAAAAACTTGCATTCGGGGCTGTGAGTGGAGGCCTCTGCCCCCCTAGTTTTGCACACAGATTTTTGGGAAACTTGATATTTTATTCTCCAAATGTTTATATGAGGAGACTCCATATGTATAATTGTATTTTTTTTTCAGAATGTCTGCTGTGGGTATGTTTTTTAAAGCTGCTATGGTCATCAGAGTAAGTGTCTGATGATATTTTCATTATGATATAAAATTTTGACAAAATATCTTAGCTTCTTGGCATGATAGACGCAATAATTTTAATGAAACTTGGTATGCATGTATATATTGATGAGATGTACATCGGGTATCAAGTTAGCTTGTTTTGGATAAATAGTTATAGAGTTATTGCCCTTGACTCAATCAAAACATGTCATATTTGGCTAGTAATATGGGCTACGGTTTTTATCCAATCATCATAACTCAATTCCTATACCTTCGCCTTGTCTTGTAGAATATATACAATGTAATGATTAGTGATTATGGAATACCAGAATGGGGATGTTATATTATTTTTGCTCTACTTACCATAGTTTTTGGTTTACTATTTGGTTTGGTAAGTTTTTTTGTTGATTAAATAATTATTAAAACAGTATAAAACAAGAAAATTGTTTAGAGAGCAACTTGGGAAAACTTTGCTTCCGAATGCAGTTAAGCCATCTGTAAAAGGGTGTGGATAATCCAGCAAACACCATGACAAGAGATTTGGCTACGGTCCAGCTGGTAGACTAGTTCCTCATGCATCTAAGTTGTTACTTAGGCTTGTTATGTTAACAATAGTTGTGTTTAATTTCCTTTATTTAGTTGATTAACCAGTAATTAATATTTGGATGTATTTTTTTCTGTAGATATTAGTTTGCTGCTGTGATTTATTATTCCCTCCAAAATACATACAAAGACAACAACGAGTCCAGCCAGAGGCAGAGAAGGTAGGTCTCTATTTCTACTCGTTCACAATACTACAGACTGTAGTGTTTTTAGTTACAGAATGGTTTTGCTCTTTGATGCTAATACATAGTTGGAACCGCGGTTCACTGTATCCAAACAGCTGTGAATGAGCCAGTGAATCCCAGTCCAAGACACAATTTAATTTAAAAGGAAGCGTGGTAGAAATAGTTTCGAATGTTTTGAAGAGACAATGGGTTGTACCTTGCAAATTCCAAACATCAGAGATACAGCTGTAGCCCTTAACTTCAGAATGGTTAACATTTCCTGATTGGACTTTCAGCATTAATCTAAAGATTTGCAGAATTATAGTTAATCTCCATTCCCTTTGATCAGTTGGACAAGATGATACCTTCAGGTTTTTTGTGCCCTTCTTCATGAAAATGGTGCAACCACCATAATTTCTGAATTTCACTGTATTTTTAGATGGATGAGTCAGATTTGCTGGACGACACCCCACAAGAAAATGGTGAGGAAGAAACAACAGAAGATACGACAGATCAAAGTAAAGTACGGAAAAGACAAACTCGAAGAGATTAGATCATTTTATTAATTTTAGCCAAGATGTATATTTGATAATTTTTAATATTTTTTATCCCTTTGAACATTTAACTTAGAGAAAACAAAACGTCATATACCCTGAACTCTGAGTAACATGACTTAAAGAGTATGATGTTAACGTCAGGTGACGTAACCTTGGTAACAGCTGCTTCACTGGTTGCTAGGGTATCTATCATGTAATTTCGTGGTCAGTTAAGAGGCTATCTAATGAGAAATAGATTGTAATTTCGAGGGAGATGAAAGTAGACTTTAATATGATTCTTAGATTAGAACCAGTTAACCTAGGTTCATTTCTGTGAAATTCACCTCATGCATTTTGAACCTCTGTCATCTGTGTTTCAAAAATTTCAAAGTTTTGAGGAGGAGATGTCATATTTTAGTCAATGAATTTTGTCATTATGTATATTAGAATTTTTACTTTGACTGTCTGATTAATCTTTCATGTAGGACATTTGAACTTGGAAATATATGAAACCTTTTGTGTCTGCCCTCATGTGTATAAGTGTTTTTGTTTGGTTCATAATCATTTTTATCGTCTATGCAAATTGGTAATGATCGAGCACAATAGATGCCCTAGTCATAATATATAATGCTTATTAATCCTTCAGTGACATTTAGGGGTAGAGATCACTACGGAACACAATTTGATGGTATACTATAATTGTTATGGTATATAACCAGATGATGACAATGAAACATTGTGTACAAAAAAACAAACTAGTAGTATAGCATAGAATTGAGTTCCGTTATTCATTATAATGCTTAATGTTGTTTGAGAAGGTCTTGAGCCTTATTCTCAAAAACTTGACTTAATATTCCAGTCATCTGATTGGTCAATCACTATAATTGAGCTTAAGCTAAGTTTTATTATCCAATCAGATTGTATTTCTTAAAATCTGGATAATATTCTGGTAAAGATTTCAATATTAAGACCCCAGACTAGCTTTAAAATTGAATTTAGTGATTGACCAATCACATGACAGGATCAGCAAGGCCTTTTCAAGTTAGGATTTTGAGAAACTAGAGCAGTTTTGCTTAACATATTCCTAGAGTTAATGTAACTTAGTGTGATTCTGGGGGATTGAATGGTGTATTTTCTAGAAAACTATATGATATAATATAAAAGGGATTGTAAAGAGATTTGCTAAAGTTTTACTGGCATGTGTTTCGGGGGCACTGATACCATCAGTTTGTACAATTTTTTTTAGAAAACCTTTTTACAATTCCTTTAAATTTTTGAAATGCCAAATATTGCTTAAATGTTTCAATGTTGAATGTAAACTGTATATTTGTTTGTCATAATTGACCACATCTTTGATTTTATGATTTTAAATATCATCATTAAATTTTAATCTAAAATTGCCATTCTTTGATATTTATAAAGAAACATTGGACCTTGCCAAAATTGAAGATCCACTTTACCTGTCCACAGCCTTTTCACCTCAGCAATGAACTTTGCAGGCAGTTTGATTCCCTCATTGGTAAATGGCCACTACCAATTGAAGGCCCCCCTTTTACCTTTCCAACAACTTTTCGCCTCAGCAATGAACTTTGCGGGCAGTTTAATTCCCTCAGTGGTAAATAGTCACTGCCAATTGAAGGCCCCCTTTTACCTTTCCAACGACTGTTCAACTCAGCAAAAAACTTTGCATGCAATTTCATTCCCTCAGTGGTTAATAGCTACTGCCAATTGAAGGCCCCCTTTTTACCTTTCCAACGACTTCCCCCCCTCCCCCTTTTACCTTTCCACAGCCTTTTCACCTCGCCACTGGAAACTTTTCTGCAAAAAATCAATGTTTAATTATCGTTCCCGGACAATGATCTTTGTACTGTTGGAATAGATATTTCAATCATTGAATAGAACTTTATTGATAGACCTATACATCTATACATTTCTATGACACGTCTAACATTGTATGGTTTGATTTACCGTTTCCAGGAAACATAAAACCACGAAATGATAATAGAATGTGATTAAAGAAGGATATGTTCTAATTCAGGAATCTTGAAAGGTATGTACGTGAAAGTACTTAATATCACGAGCTGAGCACTCTCCGTTACACTGAGTTATACGAAGTTCCATTATTGTGCTCTATCTCTAATATTGGATAATATGTCTCTTGTTATTTGGAAAATACAGAGTGACCCAAGGAGTTAAGCAATTGCATTCTCGATATAGTTTATAAATATCGAAGACAAATATTTATATTAGCTACTTATTAAGAAACACTGAATTAAGAAATAGCAATGAAAAATATTGAATAAAAAGCCCTTCTCGCTTCGAATAGTCATTGAGTTACATTGAATACTATCTTTATCAGTGGACACTTTCTTTCAGAAAATATTGTGGATCGATCACTGAGCGTTGTGCACACATAACTTTTTACATTACGTGTGTTTTAACACAACACAATGGATATTTACTGCTGTATTTAACAATGCGACGTTTCGGCGATGGTACTCTTGTCTTTATCAAGCTGATGGTAAAACTGTAGCCACACTGCTTGTGTTAATGTTATAAAGGTGAACCTGATGAACTTGTAATCATTAAAGTATAAATAACCTAATGATGGTAAATGTACATTAACTTGGCAAAGCAGCCAGTCCCTTCAGTAAATGATAAAGTAGATCTACATTAACTAGACAAGGAAAGAGTCCCTAAAGTATTTTAATGATTCATTATCGATGATATCAAGAGAATCTAAGGGTCACCAAGGTAAGAGCTTGGCGGTTATTGAATTTCATACTGAAAAAGCTTAATCAAGTTCAGAAATGAAATGAGGTCCTTCCGCGTTCTGTATTTTGCTGGACCTAGTCAAGGATTTGATAAGATAAATAACCAATTAAACTTCAATTAAGTTTTCGGTGGCATCACAAGAACTAAAGTTAACATAATATCACTGAACAATCGTTTTTGCAAATGGTAGATTACTTTTTGTAAGACAGAGTGCTCTGGTAGTATTGAGACGGGTAGTTTAGTCCGTTGCTATGCATGTTGTCGTCTGGGAGACAGATCATTCTGAAAAGAGTCAGATGAAACTGAACTCTTATCATTTGGTCAATCAAAAATATTGAGATATCCGTTATGGATGTTGTAAGTTCGTATTTCTGATACCACGGTCACAGCTTTCGGTTACGCGTGTCAGGCCAACATCTCTTCGACCTTGTGATGTTTTAAACAGCGTGTTGTCTGACAACCCAGGATGTCTCTCACCTCTCATAATTACTTCTCTTTGTTTTTGACAAAATCTAGTATTAGGTGTCGATTTCTTTCCCGGAGCAAATAATCAGTCAACCCGGATATATCAGGTGACCCAGAAAAAAACAAAACAACTTTTGATTTTAGGATTACATACTCATACGATTTTAAAGTCATGACCATAATATTCTGATCTCATTAAAATAGAGATATTTGACATATATTTTCCAAATAACAGCTTGACGTTGTACCTCTTTGAAAGATCAGACTTTTAAAAACCGCTCTCACAATGTATAATGCCGATGTAGTTACTATTATTATCTTTTTAATCGAACCAATGCTTAATGTTGCAACGATTTTCAGCACAAAGGATCCAAAATGGGTCTCTTCTTGTACAAATGACCTGCTGAATCCTTACCTGCAATTTGGACTATGTCATGCAAAATATGAATGATGGCCCTCGACTTCCTGCGGTGGGTTTTCTACAGCTTATATATTGCTCATGCACAGTGGCTAAACAAGATGACTGGGGTCCACTGCAACGGGATTTTTTAGTTGCCATGTACCTCGATTTAATGCCAGTAAACGGCAAATTTCTGGGGGCAATTCCTCTTGACAATTCTAAATGGTACCATTTGTCATGGAAAATGTGTTTTCGGATTGTTTGTCCGAAAAAGGGGGCCACATAGTGCAAATGTTCAATTACAGAGGTGATTTTTTAAGCAAATTTTTCATAAAATCTTTATACAGACATCCCAATTACATGTATGTCCTTTATTAATTAATAAGCTTCATGTCACGCCGTTGGGCACACTACATAACCTTTTCATAATGGCAGTTTTAGTGAAAATGACACAAGTGCTATAAAAACCCTACTGACTTTAGTTAACTTGTCATCTACTACCATCTCTTCCCTAACTTTCTCAATCAGCTGGTGATTCTAAAAAGGGTGAATACTAAAATAACAATATGATTCAGTAAACTATATCATTAATTAGTAAAGTGTAAAATTCTGATTATTTTTTATTGATCTTCTGATCTATTTATTTTTTAGTCCGTTAGTAATTGATACTTGATATAAATATTTGATCTACTCGCTTGTTCATTGTCAGTGAAAAAATAGGCGCAAGTGTATCGAATAAAACATTTCTTTAGACAAATTTGTAATTTCTTAAAATAACGGAGCACAATTATAATGGTATACTACTCTCGAGTTTTATTGTACACAACGTTTCTACAATTAACATTGTCATCATCAGTTTATAATAGTATAATATTCTTGGTTTTATATTCCCGGTTCGACTTTTAATATAATTTTCCTGTTTTTTATTTACACAACGTTTCTACAATTTACATTGTCATCATCAGTTTATATGGAATATTACTGAGTTTTATTGTACACAACGTTTCAATAATTTACATTTCCCCCATCAGTTTATATGGAATACTACTCCTGAGTTTTATTGTACACAACGTTTCTACAATTTACATTGCCATCATCAGTTTATATGGAATACTACTGAGTTTTATTGTACACAACGTTTCTACAATTTACATTGTCATCATCAGTTTATATGGAATACTACTCCTGAGTTTTATTGTACACAACGTTTCTACAATTTACATTGCCATCATCAGTTTATATGGAATACTACTGAGTTTTATTGTACACAACGTTTCTACAATTTACATTGTCACTATCAGTTTATATGGTATTCTTCTCCTGAGTTTTTTTTGTACACAACGTTCCAACAATTTACATTGCCATCAACAGGTGTAATTTGACTAATTAAACCTGTGTTTCGTTATTTAATGTGATCTCTGCCGTTGAATGTGGTTTAAGGATTATGAAATGGATACGTTTGAAATTTATGTAAATTTGTTTTTTTTTTGTGAAGATTTATATAGTGTGTTTCGTCTATTCTTACAATACAGACTACAGACTACAGCAAAATTATAAAAATATTCTCGTGAATGAGTCTTATAAAGAGTTTTTAATGAGAATTGTATGAGATCTATTCTATATCTCACATTCTGGCCACAGACAGTCTGTATAGTGACAAGCAGGACGACAGGATACTAAATGGTAGTGATCATGAAATACTAACTCATTTATAATTGATATACTTCCTCAGGTGAAAAGTTCTTTCTACCAATAGTTCACTAATAAATTCTTTTGGATTTCGGTTTTTTGTTGTGCGGTTCGAATTGTTAGTACTTTGTGTACTTATTAAGTTCATCGGAACCAAATATCTTGTTTATAGTTTCGATTTGGAAACAAATTTTAAGAGTTTAATTGTCATCATTCAGCCTTTTATAATTGGACGTAAAGCTCCACTTTTATTCAATGTGTGATTGATTCAAGATAGCGGATAGTTGACCGTGCTAACGCTAACTTGCAATTTGTGGAAATGCATTTGTATTTGTATTAGATATAATCCAATAACATTTCAATATCTTAATAACGGTGAATATAATCATAATACGATAATAAAATATAGCTCTTACTGTGAAGAGATATTAAGATAATTATAGAACTATTAAATAATTATAAACCAATACTTTGAATGAATACCTGGCTTGATGAGGCATTATGTTAGGTCTCCTGGATTCACTTGGCTATGTAAACATAACATAAAATAACATTTCAAATGATGAGCTTTTTCTAGATTTTACCCAATGAGGCAGTTACTATCCGGTTCTTGCTTTGGATGAGATTTTTGGTTCACGGAATTGTTTTCCTCGTACGGAATTTATTCTTACTGAACTGACATCACATACAAATCTAAAATTATGAGCATGGACATTTCTAGATGCCAGGATATTGGAGGAATTTCGTGCAGTTCTAGTAGGTAGTTCTGAAGACTATTTACATATTATATTCAAGACCCAAACGGCGAAGCTGTCTCTAAAAACTATTCTGAAGGAAATAGAAAATCCTAAGATAATAGATTATGAGTCGTGCTTACTGTGTAATTGTGTGAATTGAATACCAATAATATATGATAAATGCACCAATACACCAATACCTGGATATCTGGATTGATGAACTTTACTGTTAAATCACCGTGTTAGGTTTCTCGGATTATGACTGTGTAAACATAATAATACATTGTGTAACATTTAATTTCACAATATAGGCACGGACAATTCTAGATGCCTGGATTTAGATTTTAATTGGAATGGAATTATTTTTTCTAGATTTATCTAGTTAAGCATTGACAATTAATTGGTGCTTTGGACGAGATTATTGGCTGACGGAATTTTTTGCTTGTACGGAGTTTATTCTTACTGGAATAGAAATACTTAAAGGGATTGTAAAAAGGTTTTCTAAAATTTGTATGTGTATCAGGGACACTGATAGCATCAATTTGCACCGTTCCAAGTTTCCATCCAACTTCTGATGTTCCTGCAATTCCACTAACAGTAAGTGTTTGACGTCTGATTGGAAATTGGAAACGCTGCAGATTGATGCTATACATATACACATTTTAGAAAACAATTACAATCCCTTTAATGTAACTTTATTCAGTTCGGAAGTAACCATTATGTTTTAATTGAATGACTAACTAACATAAAGACATCGATTTACCACTTTGTTTACTTTGAATTTTCAGAATTAACTTCCTTTTATTATTTGTGGAAATGATCGAGATGATTTATTAATCTGACAAGTGCTGAACTCAGAAATATTCCAACAGGAAATGATGGAAACAGAATAATGTCTAAAGGTATGTAAAACTGTAAGAGTAAATGTGAAAAATGCATCTATAACTATAACCCTACCATTTGAGGTCCTTCAAATTAATCGTCGTCCAAAACCACACCCTTATCATTAAATTTCAGACTGAAATTAATACCTTCTCTACAGGAGAGGCAAGGGCGGACGCAGCAGATTTCTTGGACTGGGAAGCAGCCCCCCTACATGAAATGGGGTGATGGGGCCTGTGGTTACAGCCATGATGGATTAGAAAAAGTTTTGCATCTTCTTTTAGTATTTTTTAATTTCACTATGTTATACAAGAAAGAATAAATTGATCATATGTCTAAACTAGAATCAATGTTCTCCCTACAACTTTCTATCTGCACTCAATACCTAATTCAAACAGGGTAAATTTCTATTGTCTGATAAATTGGCAATCGACTTGATGTTAGAAAATGATGAAGAAATGTATTACAATTAAATTACGGTATAGATTGCTAGGAGCTAAGTTCTTCAATTTGTGTACAATGTAATCTCATATAGATTTTAATTCAAAACGATTAAAGGGATTGTAAAGAGGTTTTCTGAAAAAAATTATGTGTATTGGGGACACTGATAGTATCAATTCATCATTTCAATTTTTAGCCTGCAATTCCACAAAAAAGTGTTTGATCACATCACAAATCGTAAAATATGCTATATTAAATTATTAAATAAGGCCCTTATTTTTTTGTCACGAAGTTTCATGAGTTTCTTGCATTAACATAAACCTTAAATACTGTGATTTTTTCTGCTACTTCTTATGTCATTTCTTACACAGGGTGATCCAGGTGCGGAAAAGTTCGTACAACAAATCAATTTTATTGAGTACATGTAGCCTATATATAACTATATCATTTGTAATTTCCAGAGATAGTTTTAAAAATAATAATAACTTTATCGATCATCAAGTTATTAACCAAATCTTCCTTGGAATCAATTGAACATAATACATTATAAACATATTTACAAAAAGAACAGTTTTAGCAATAAGTGGGATGATATAATAGATATAGCTAGATTTCTTACAATAGTGATATTATTACAAAAGAAAAAATTAACAAGGTACACAAAATACACCATGTTGTGCATCTTATTTTAATTTCGCGTCCTTTGACCTTTATCACAGAGTTTTTGAACAGTACCAAGATGAACCGTATGTTCTCGGACTGTCGACTTAGTATATAATCGTGATATTCCTCCCCAGCTCACCCAGCTATCTTGTTCTCAACCTTATAGGTACTAACTTACGCCAGAAGCGAACAAGACAGTAGAGTACCAGAGAAGCCTTTAAGTTTAGTAAACAATTTTTTTTAAGTAGTAATCTACATAGCTCCCTTTACTACCCTATTTATTAGTAAGGGAACACTAGGCGACGCTAAATATAATGTATGTATTTAATATATTTAAAATGTTATTGATTATGATGGTCTGATTGTATCGAAGAAATCCCATGATAATCTCACGAGAATTTGAATTACTTTGATCCTTCCTCCTGTTGTTTGTAACCTAGAGAAATCAAAGCTATTGACAACATTTTAATATTTTATTCAGGAAGTAGCCTAGTTTCACCTATCAGAGCTAATTAGTTTCCAATTTCTGTTTTTGTGGATTTAATTGTATAGTGTTCATCTGTAAACTCGATGTATGTAGCGTAGGATTGGTAAATCCAAGCCGTGTTTTTTGGTGAGACTTCGGTTTTATTTGATTATCAATCAAAATATATCGAGTATTGGTTTGATAAACAGTTTAATTTCAAACCTAAAGAAGAATTGAAATCTAAAAGCCATTCTTGTATTACGTTTGGGTGCTGTAAACAAGTATTAAGGTGTATTGAAACGTGTCTTAATGAAAGAACTTGCCTACGTCACGGAGCTAAAGAGGTGTCATATGTGTGTGTGTTGGAACACTTATACCTTTAATGCAAAATAGTACCTGCGATGGTTAATAATAATCACAAGTTACCACAAATATCCAAAAGAAAATCAGAATAATGTAAACAGAGCTATAAGTGCCCTAGATACATATACAGAGGGGAAACAATCTCATTTGAATATCCTTGTGGAATGACAAAATTAGACGGGCCAATACATTTACCATCAATTCTAACAACTAATCATAACACTATCAATTAGTTTGTGATTTTTATATACCTAGGTATGTAATGTATTATTCTAAATAAACCACATAAATATTGTATTCTCTTATAGTTTGACAGGAAATATTGATGCCAATCATCTGGGATCAATTAAGTATGAATATTAGGGCTGTTAATACAGGATAACAATTTGTTTAATGTAGCCTATTAGTAATTTTACACACGATTTATGTATGGTTGGTAATTAACTGATCACAGACTAGGTAGTTGTTGGTAGATGACAGTTAACGCCCGCTTCCAGTTACTGATATCACAGACTAGGTAGTTGTTGGTAGATGACAAGTTAACGCCCGCTTGCAACTAACTGATATCACAGACAAGGTAGTTGTTGGTAGATGACAAGTTAACGCCCGCTTCCAGCTAACTAATATCACAGACAAGGTAGTTGTTGGTAGATGACAAGTTAACGTCAGCTTCCAGCTAACTGATATCACAGACTAGGTAGTTGTTGGTAGATGACAAGTTAACGCCCGCTTCCAGTTACTGATATCACAGACAAGGTAGTTGTTGGTAGATGACAAGTTAACGTCAGCTTCCAGCTAACTGATATCACAGACTAGGTAGTTGTTGGTAGATGACAAGTTAACGCCCGCTTCCAGCTAACTAATATCACAGACAAGGTAGTTGTTGGTAGATGACAAGTTAACGTCAGCTTCCAGCTAACTAATATCACAGACAAGGTAGTTGTTGGTAGATGACAGTTAACGCCCGCTTCCAGTTACTGATATCACAGACTAGGTAGTTGTTGGTAGATGACAGTTAACGCCCGCTTCCAGTTACTGATATCACAGACTAGGTAGTTGTTGGTAGATGACAGTTAACGCCCGCTTCCAGTTACTGATATCACAGACTAGGTAGTTGTTGGTAGATGACAGTTAACGCCCGCTTCCAGTTACTGATATCACAGACTAGGTAGTTGTTGGTAGATGACAAGTTAACGCCCGCTTCCAGTTACTGATATCACAGACTAGGTAGTTGTTGGTAGATGACAGTTAACGCCCGCTTCCAGTTACTGATATCACAGACTAGGTAGTTGTTGGTAGATGACAAGTTAACGCCCGCTTCCAGTTACTGGTATCACAGACTAGGTAGTTGTTGGTAGATGACAAGTTAACGCCCGCTTCCAGTTACTGATATCACAGACTAGGTAGTTGTTGGTAGATGACAAGTTAACGTCCGCTTCCAGTTACTGATATAACAGACTAGGTATTTGTTGGTAGATGACAAGTTAACACCCGCTTCCATCTAACTGATATCACAGACCAGGTAGTTGTTGGTAGATGGCAGTTAACGCCCGCTTCCAGTTACTGATATCACAGACTAGGTAGTTGTTGGTAGAAGACAAGTTAACGCCCGCTTCCAGTTACTGATATCACAGACTAGGTAGTTGTTGGTAGATGACAGTTAACGCCCGCTTCCAGTTACTGATATCACAGACTAGGTAGTTGTTGGTAGATGACAAGTTAACGCCCGCTTCCAGTTACTGATATCACAGACTAGGTAGTTGTTGGTAGATGACAAGTTAACGCCCGCTTCCAGTTACTGATATCACAGACTAGGTAGTTGTTGGTAGATGACAAGTTAACGCCCGCTTCCAGTTACTGATATCACAGACTAGGTAGTTGTTGGTAGATGACAGTTAACGCCCGCTTCCAGTTACTGATATCACAGACTAGGTAGTTGTTAGTAAATGACAAATTAACGCCCGCTTCAAGCTAACTGACATCACATACTGATAGTTGTTGGTGGATGATAAATTAACGCCCGCTTGCAAGTAACTGATATCACAGACTAGGTAGTTGTTGGTGGATGACAAGTTAACGCCCGCTTCCAGCTAACTGATATCACAGACTAGGTAGTTGTTGGTAGATGACAAGTTAACGCCCGCTTCCAGCTAACTGATATCACAGACTAGGTAGTTGTTGGTAGATGATAAGTTAACGCCCACTTCCAGCTAACTGATATCACAGACAGGATAATTCTGTGAAATTCTTATACTGCTATCAGTACTCTCCTATCGATACCCACCCCCCACGGAAAAACCGGCCATGAAGGCCTTGGTGGCCTATTAAGTGATAAGAGGGTGCTACTGAGAGAATGGTGTGTGATTGATATTAACTTTTTTTTCTTGTACATATTGTAAGGCAGGAAGTCAGGGCACCCATCCTTGATACTGTCATTTTTCTATCTGGGTCAATAAAACTTGGAGAAAAAAAAACAGCGGAATTGTTTAGCCGAATCAAACTGCTAGAATCTCAGACTCCATACATAGAAATTTAACAGTAAAACATCATTAATTATGGTTCCATTGAGATTAAAAGTTCGAACATTCAGTGGTTATTGTGGCTTGAAAATGAAATATTTTTATATAGATTTATTATTCTGTAGGAAACCTGAGGAATCTGATACAAGATAGAGGAATAGGGACATTCGGCAAGTTTCATTTGGTTGCAGAATGATAGCAGAACTATCACGGTAGACCGTTTGGAATAGAGATTGCGTTTCTTTTTATTCCGTTGTAACTCAAATGTATGGAATTATTATCCTCAAAATTGGAGGTAACGAAACGAAATTTTGGATGTGTGGGTTCGTGCGATTCACTAAAAGTGTTGATCTGTGAAATTTGGGGATGATGGTATTTTTTGTGATAGAAAGAAATTAAAGAAATAGACGATATGAGATGTCGCTTCCCTGAAACGGGTGGCAAATGAATAAATCCGACTTTTAGGCTTTCCTTAATGCAAGATTGCTCTTGTTGAAGAGCTGAATCAGGCTGAGTTCTTGCATTAGAAGTTGTTTCAGGAGTTGCATTAGAAGTTGTTTCAAGAGTC